AACATTAGACAATACTTAATGTACTTTTATTGCAAGTTTAGGAGTATGTAGTAATTATTCTAATAATTGTTCATCTTATGATGTTTCTGGTATATTAGATAAAAAAAGTTGGTGTGAATTATTAATTTAAATTGATGGATAATAATGTACTAATATAAATGATTCTATAAAATGTAGTTTAATGACATATACTTGTGAATAAATTACAGCTAATAATTAAATAGATTGTGATAAAGTTCTATTAAATAAATGTATTTATTTTGATTAAAAATGTTATACAAAATAGAATATTTGTACATCTTATGTAATTCCATAAAGTATAACTAATAAATAACTTTATTGTAAGAATATGTTAGATAGTTCATAAAAATATTGTACAAGTGGTTTTACTAATTGTGGAATACCTACTATTGATTGTACTGATATAATAACTAATGGAAGTGATGATTAATAAAAAAGAGTTTTTTGTAGATAATACAAATCTTCTGATGGATAAATGTGTGGATATTTATCTGGAACAAAATGTGAAATTGAACGTAATTATTGTAGTGTATTTAATAATGTAACAAATTAAGAATTTTGTGATTTAAGATTAGATAATTGTGTTTATATTTAAAAAAGTGGAAAATGCATTGAAAAATATTTAGTTTAAGATTGCACATTTATGTTATTTGATTCTAGTTTATCAAATAAATTAAATTATTGTTAATATTATAATATAAATGGTAATACTTGTACTTGGAATACAGCTATTGATCATTGTGAATTAGATACAAAAAAATGTATTGATTTTGATGCATCTGGTTAAACAGATAAAAAAACATTCTGTTAATCTAAAAAAGGATATAATTGTTCATGGAGAGATGGTGATACTTCTTAATTTTGTAGATAATTTAAATGTTAAGATATAGATCTTGCATAAAGTTAATCTGATTGTGATTCTAAAATGTATGGATGTAGTTTCTATATTAATTCTTGTTTCACACTTGAAAATAATTGTGATAATTATTATGCTTTAGGTACTGATAATTAATTAAAATAATCTTTTTGCAATGGAATTCCAACAAAATCCAATTAAAAGTGTACATACTTATCAAATGATTATAAATGTAGATTAAGAGATTAATGTAGTACTTATAATGTCTAAAATATAAGTGATAAAGTTAATACATGTTTTGGTATGTATAATTCTGCAGGAATATAATGTATTTATGTTAAAGGTAACACTTGTAATTAAATTGATAAATGTGAAACTTATAATGGATTAACTAAAATGAGTGATTGTACTAAATTAATTGATATTAATAATAGATTATGTCTTGAAGGTAAAACAACATGTCTTACATTTAATTGTGAAGATATTAGTGATCCTAAATCTCAAAATGATTGTGATACTAAATTAAAAAACTTATGTTATTACAATAATTCCAAATGTATTACTATATCTGATTGTTCTACTTATAAAAAGAGTGATTGGCCATCTAATGCAGATCCTATTAAATATTGTGCCACTCTTATTGATAAAAATGGACATTATTGTACAGCTGATAATGAAACCAGTATTAATTGTAGAGAAAGATAATGTAGTGATAAATTATTTTATTTAAATTCAGAATGTAAAGAATGGAAATCAACTTGTAAATCAGATGGATCAAAATGTATTGAATCAAATAAAGAATGTTCATATTTTACTGGAAATAAAGATTCATGTAGTAAATATTTGGATTCTGATAATCTTAATTATTGTAAAGTTATAGCTGGTACTGATTAAGATATTGGATCATGTTCAACATTATCTTGTTATTAAAATACTACAGCTACATCTGATTCAGAATGTCAATCATTTTAAAATGGATGTTTAACTAAAGGAGTAGGATGTATAATTAATACTGCTAGATGTGATGAATATAGAGGTACCAAAAATCAATGTTCAAAATTTTAAGGTTATGTATCTAAAACATAAACAGAATTTTGTTCAGGAGACTCAACAAATACAGATTAATCAAAATGTAGATCTAGAATATGTTCTGATAATACTATAGATAATAGTGATACATAATGTTCATATTTTAAAACTGATTGTGTAACAAATGGATAAGGTTGTATTGATATTAATGCTAGTTGTAGTAGTTATAAAGGTACTTAAGAATAATGTAGTAAATTTATGGGTAATAATAAAACTATTTATTGTTGGAATGATTTAGATGCTTCTAGTGATTAAAATTGTATTGATAAACAATGTTAACATATTATGGGTACAACTAATGAATAATGTGAATAAGCATTTCCAAAAGTCTTGATTAATGGTATTTAGACACTCCTTTGTGTTAGTAATGGTATAAATTGTATCAAACATCCTGCTAAATGTAATGATTTCTTAGGTAACAATATAACATGTTAGCTATTCACTGCATTAATTGATGGACCATGTAAAGGTAATTTAGATAATTCAATTGGATATTGTTAACCTAGATAATGTTATGAAGCACCAAAATCATATAATACTGATGCATAATGTTATGATTATCATCCTACTTGTTTAACTACAGGATAAGGATGCATGAAATTTTAATCATATGATTAATTTGGTAAACCAACTCTAAATTGTAATAGTATTGTTAACAATGATGTATGTTCTTTAAAACTTGGTTGCACTCTTGCCAGTTAATGTTTAGTATAAGTTTCATCATGTTCATTATTAACATCATAAGCTATTTGTTAAACAACTATACTTTCAAATGGAACAAAATGTATTTATGATTTATCAATTAATAAATGCAGAGATATTGAATGTTCTGATTATGTTGATATCAATGATAATAATATATGCTAAAAATATGGAAGTAATTGTACAACTAATGGAAATGGATGTGTAATTATGAAATCATGCCTTTTATATTATGATAAATTAACATGTTAATCTGCATATTCAACTGATCCTATTAATAGATGTACATGGACTAATAATGGATGTAGATAGAGAGAATGTAAGGATTTCAAAGGAACTACTAATTCTTCTTGTAAATCATTCCTATAAGGTTGTATTACAAATGGCTAGAATTGTATTGGACCATATTATTAATGTGAAGATCTCCTTTAAAAAAACTGTTTAATTGATTATTTAGGTAATACTTGTCTATTTTATAATAATATATGTCATTCCTACTCAAAATGTTAAGATATGAAATTAACAACACATGATTAATGTCAATCATTCTCAGAACTTTGTACTACTAATGAAATTAATTGTATTCCATTAAATAAATGTGAGAATTATACAAATTAAGTGTCTTGTATTATAGGAGTTAATGGTAAATGTGGATGGATTAATGAAAAATGTAATTTATTTAAAGGATGTTCTAATGTTTAAGGAACAACAACTACTATCTGTCAATAATATTCTCAAACTTGTATTAGTGATGGAATTTAATGTGTAGAATAAAATCTCTGTTCGTTATATAATTCTTAATATTTATGTGAAAAAAATAAAGGATTAGATGGAGATTGTATATGGACTAATAATACATGTAGATTGAAATAATGTGAAGATTTGACAACCAATACTGATACATTCAAAAAATGCTTTGATCAATTAACTCATGTAAAATGCTCTAGTAATGGTACTAAATGTATATCTTTAACTTCATGTGAATATTACGAAGAAAAGTCTTGTATATTGGGTTCAAATGGACCTTGTATTTATAAATTACCTTTTGATTAAAGTACTGGTTAAATTAGCTGTCGATTAAAGGAATGTTAAGATGTTATAGGTAAAACTTTAGAAATCTGTAAGTCTGCCTTTGATTCTTTATACAAAAAATGTGTATCAAATGGATCTGTATGTATAGATCTAAATTACTGTGCATCATATACTACTAAAGTAGCATGTGCTTCAGGAGGTATAGATGGATAATGTGCTTTTTAACCTAATGCTTCAAAATCTAATGATGGAATCTGCAAACTCTTTACATAATGTTCAGATGCAGATAATGATAAAGATGTCTGTCTCTCCAACTCAAAATATTGTTAATGGATTTCAAATAGTTTAAAAAAGTAATGTATTCCTCATACATGTCTTACATACAATACTAAAAATGATTGTCATCCTGTTCCCAGTTTTGATTAAAAATCATATCTCTTATGTGCTAAAGTCAATAATATCTGTTAAGAAGTTTAACCTACAACATTGACTATGGATACTTGTTATATTAATAGTGCCCAAACATATCTTTGGAATACATCAACATCAAAATGTGTACAATGTAAAATTTAAAATAATAATAATGTTACTACAACTTCAAAGGTTACTAATAATTCCTCACTTATGTTAAATATATTAGTAATCATAATCAGTTTATATTTTTGAAAATATCATTTATTTATTTCAGTATTAATATTTATTTAATTTTTATAATTCTAATTCTAAGCCCTTTTATAAAATTAAAATTTAAAGGTGTAGTTTTCCTTTTAAAATTCTTTATTAATTGATTTATTCATCATATATTACATTAAAGTTTAAGTTTAATCTATTATTAAATTTTATTAGTATGATATAAAGTACTTCTACCATTAAAATAATTATATTATTGGATTTTTGGATAGATTTTAATGATTGCATACAAAGATTAAATTTAATCCATTAATACCTTTTTAAATATAACAACTCAACTTGTAGTTCATTTGTGAAATGCAAAATTGAATAAATTAATAATTGAAACCTATTTTATTATGCTTAATTAATTATTTAATCTTTATTTTTTAATTTTTATAAATTCAATTTTTAATAAATTTAGAATATAAATAGTTTTCATATTCTATTATATATATATTTTTAATGAAAAATTAGTTTAACTCAATATGACTCTAAAATTAGTTTGTATTTCTATGAATCCGTTTATAGACTTCAAAATAGACTTTTTATTTGATTTATTTTAAATTAGGGTTTATGTTATGCATTATTTAAGAGGATTGAATTTTGATATAAAAAAAATAATATAAAAATGGCTTAGTAGAAAGAAAAGAATAAGATTAATAATAAATAAAGGTAAGGTGATTGGATATGTAATAGAGTGTAAAAATTAATACTTTAGAAACTAGAATTGCAATAATAAGAATTTTGCATTTAAAGACTCTTGCAATCGATGTCATACTATAAAGAATGTCAAAAATAAAGAGAATAATGGATTCAAATCTGCCCTTTTTTAACTGAGAATAATGGAGATATACATCCTATTTTAGATCGATCAAATTAATCATCAGGAGAAAGGCCTGATATTGGAAATAATAAATTTATATTTGATACATTACATTCTATAGAATCAATTTTAAAATAGATGACTAAAGAAATATGTAAAATAATCTATTAAAATATGAAGAATCAAAATATAGTTATTTTGAGTTTGAATGTCAATGTTAATAATGCCTATAGATTAATTAATACTATAAAATAAATTGAGTTTAATGTAGAATATAAAGTCTTAGAGAGTCTACTATTTGATCTAGAACCATTTTGATATTATTTATAATATTTAACTAGTTTATAATTGCATTTTAAATAAAAAATGAAGTATAGAAATTTACATATGAGGGCTAAATGAGATCATATGAAAATTAATTTATAAATAAAAATTTAAATGTTTATAAAACACATTATAAATAGATCAAAAATAATTATTGATTAAAGGATTTAATTAAAAAATGATAATAATATTAATTTTCTAAAGAATTGAATTTAAGAATAATCTTTCAAATTAATTAAGATTGATATACAAAATAAAATTAAAAAGTAGAAATAAAATGACATATATTTTTGTATGATATTATTATAATTATAATCTTGTCATTATAAAACTTGATTTATGAAATAAAAACTAATTTTTGTAAATATTTAGTTTATATTATAATATAAAATTAAGTTCCATTTTATTTTTATAAGTCTCAATAGGTATTTTTATTTTATAGATAACTTATCAGTTTATAAATTAATGATAAAATTTCATTATTAGAAGTGAAAGTTCGGCTAAATTAAAATATATTATTGAAGGATTAATTATATGTTCCAATGAATTATTAGAATTAATGAAGTGATTTAATAAAAATTCACTTAAATTAGTTATAGGGTAATGAAATCCAGTAAGTTTCGAATTTCAGACATTATGAAATACATATAATTGATTTTTTTACTTTTATTTATTTGTTTAGACCAATTTTGGTTAAAAAAATGAATATAATATTTTAATCCATACTGAAGTTGAGTGCATTGTTAGTTAAATAGACAATATTCGTGTTTAGAAATAGTTCAAGTTTAGAAAAACAATTACAAAAAATTGCACATTTTTAATAGTTAATTTTTTGATCAAAAATTAATACATTAAAAATACATCATTTACATAATTTTAAAATGTTTGTGATATTCTTGAACCATTTTATTTATGGATTTGTATTCAAGCTCATAAAAAAATGAAAGTTTGAATTAAAAATTCATTGTATGTAAAACAAAATGAATAAAAACATAAGAATTTTCATTTTAGAGATTTAGAACATTATAATTATATTTGTCAAGTTCTTAGTTAATTGTATGGTATTGGGTAAAACTGATGTTGATATTGTTGTTATGAGTAAAAATATTATGGCAGTGGTTAGGAAAGTGAACAAAATTCTTATTTGATTTATCCTTAAGGTTTTAAATTGAGGATTGATTTAAATACATATTAGGATGAGAGTAGCATGTTTTGAATGGTTGATTAATACACAAAATTGGGTTAATTCATGCGAGATGAAAGCTCTGTAGTAAATTTGATGCATTAAGATTACAAAATTGATTGTTATTGGTTTGCTAATGCTATTTGATCAAGTAGCGATGGCTGTTTGTCAACATATATCTAAATATAAACTAATTATAATTACCTGATGAATATCAGATTAGACACTTAATGGTTAGACTTCCATAGTGAATGGATTTATAACACTAATTTTTAGTATGCTCTGAACCTTTAACTTCTTTTTTCTAGTTTCTTTTTTTCCTATACGACCGTCTTTCTCATATGTTTTCTAAATTGTTCGTACTGTACAATACTTCAATTACAGTTTGTTAGCCACCTAAAGAGATATTGATTGATAAAGCAACAATATATATATATGTAAGGATATAGAAGACAAGAAATGAGAATAATGATGCTTTATACCTCTTGTAGCGATAACTTTTCATTATACAGCATATCAAGTACTAGTTTTCTTTAATCACATTCAATTTTTTGGTATTATTTACTTTTCTTTGGTTGGTCTTAGCCATTAATGGATTTGCACATACTTTATGAATCTTTTATAATTATTATTTTGGAAAAATATTTTCAAATCACATCTGGTTTTTAATTTAAAAAAAGATCCACTAGTGATTATATTTGTATAAATATATAATTAGTTGATTAATATAAATTTCTTATATAAATTATTCATATTTTTAAAAAAAAATCTTAATTTCAATGAAACTATAAAAATGTAAGAATTCATTTTTAGACTCCATCTTTATAAATTTATGATTGATTCTATAAAGTAAGATCAAGATACTAATTAAGAATTATAATTTTAATTAATAATTGTTGTATCAAATTTAATAATAATCATAATTATACTTTCTTCCTTCTCTAAGCAGCACTTTCATCTTCATCTTATTCTTCTTCTTCATCTTATCTAGGTTAAGAGATAGACTTTTTTGATTCTCTTTCTTCTAACCTTCTTCCTTTCCTACTTACTTCAGCCTTCATTCTTTCTTAATCTTTTGCCTTAAAAATGTCAAACAAAAACAATCTATATACACAATGAAATTCTTTTATATCATCAAAATGCAAAGGTCGTCCCAATTCAAAATCACCTTTTAAAGATACTCCCTTATTTAATTAGAAATAGAGAGTCAAAACAAAATTTTATGTTTAATCAACATATACTTCAAAATTTCTTTGACTGATTGATCTATGCATCATATCAAAATAACTATTATAAGTGCCTTCCAATCCACTTTTTTTACGTTTTTATTCAAATTTTTCCAAATCAAAATCTTCTACCCAAAAATCAAAACCATTTGTCACTTATATTTTGCAACGTCCTTTACTTTCCATAGGTTGAAAGTAGATTATGTATTCTTTTTAATTATAAATGATTAGAGTATTTAAGAATGCCAATTTACCAAGTGCTCTACAAAATTCAACTCTTCTTTCTGTCATAAATTATTAAATTTGATTATATGAGTGTGTTCTTAAAAATAGTTAATTATCATGCTTATTATTGTTTAATTAATAATAAATTTAATTAATGATGGAAACAGAAAACTAATAAATTGGTAATTAGATTAAACCTAAAACTACAATTCTTTGTTCAATTTGTGATCTTGCTTTCACTCCTAGTGAATAGAAGACACTTATTTGTACAAATTGTATCATCAATTAAACTGATATTACAATTGGCATAACTAAGGAGGGTATTGTAAATTATTGTCGATTTTGTCATCGTTATTTAAGACCTCCTTGGACATTGTGTGAAAGAGAATCAAAAGAATTATTAAGCATTTGTTTAAAGAGATTGAGAGGGTAAATAATTTGAATTATATTAAATAGATTGAATAAAGTTAAAATTATAGATGCTGCTTTTGTGTATACTGAACCAAGTTCCAAGAGAATTAAAGTGAAATTAACAATATAGAAGGAAGTGCTTAACAATACCAATATGCAATAAGTATGGATCTAACTAATTAGACATTCATATGTGAATTCTTAGAACATTATTAACAATGTGAAGATTGTAAAAAGGAATTCACTCCTCATACTTGGGGAGCAGCTGTTTAAGTACGTTAAAGAGTAGATCATAAAAAAACATTCTTTTATTTAGAACAATTATTATTGAAATATAATGCAAATGATAAAGTATTAAAAATAGAATAAGTTGATGATGGATTAGATTTCTTTTATAAATCAAGATCACATGCTAATAGATTAGTAGAATATTTATCAACTATATTGCCAATTAGAGTGAAATAATCAAAATAATTAGTATCACATGATGCTAGTAGCAATCTCTTTAATTATAAGTATGTCTATGCAGTAGATTTACCTAAAGTTTGTAAAGATGATTTGGTTATTTTGCCTTAGAAATTATGTAAAGAATTAGGAGGAGTAGGTAGAGTGTAATTATGTTATAAATTAACAACTATCATTCATTTAATTGATCCTCTATCAATGAAATGTTCAGATTTATCAATTGAGGCTTTTTCTTTATATGAAAATGAAATTGAAGTGTACAATTTAAAAACACATTAACATGAATTTACAGTTGTTGATGTTGAACGTATACATACTAGAAACTTGAATGAAAGTTATATCTCAAGTTCATAAAATGCATTCCTACCTAAATTGACTAAAGTCACTATTATTAGAGAATCAAATAATTATGTCCCTATAACTGTTAAAAGTCATTTGGGTGATATTTTGAAAACAGGTCAGGTTGCTATTGGTTATGATTTAACTTAATTGACTATTGAATCTTTAGAAGATATTTCCAATTATCCTGAATGCATTTTAGTCAAGAGATAAATAAATAAAGAAGCAAGAAAATTGAGAATCTTTAAATTAAAAAGATTGGAAGCATAAAATGTAATGGAAGAAGAAGGAGGTGAAAGAAAGAGAAATTAATGTATTTAATTTTATAATTAATAATTTAGAAAAGAAATAAAATGATTAAGAGGAGTAATTTGAAGAATTCTTAGATGATGTAGAAAAGGATAAAGAGATGAGAAAGAATATTAATTTATATAGAGATGAAGAAAAAATTAAAAAATTAAATAAAGAAGATTTGAAAAAGAAATAAAAGAAACCAGTTTAATAATAAAAAAAAGACGATGATGAATGGTAAGATGATGATGAGGATGATATTAAATTAGAAGATTTAATGAAAGATTTAAATTTAGAAGATAAACCAGAATTAGCTGAACCAGTAGATGAAGCATAAGAAGAAATTAATCAATTTATTACAAAATTAGAAAAAGTAACAATTGAAAAATGAAATATATATATATGAATTCTTATTATTAACATAAATATTAAATCAATTGATATTAACTAATTCTTATTCATTTTATTTTAATGATTATAATTCCTATTATTATTATTATTATTGTTATTATTATTATTATTATTATTCATTAAATTCTCTTTTTTTCTATTTCTTTTTTGGCATACATATCCAAATACATATTAAACTAATAGCCAATATTATACTAATTCCAAACACTATTAATATATAATCTATCTTAGAATCTTCTATCCCAACTTCATCTTTCATTATTATTGTCTCAGACTAATTATAAATAAGGCTGGCATTATAAAAATATGTATATGGAATATCATAATTCTCATAATATGCTTAAAATACCAGTAAACCATAAATTAACTCTCTATTAATTAATACTACTTTATAGATTAAAGAATACCTGTAAATTAAAGAGATTCCTCTTTCTCTTTTACTTCTTAAATAATGGAAGTGTAAAAGATAGAAATACCAGTATAATTTTATAGTAATTCAATATCAATCTCACAACCTAATGCTTTCATTAAATAATCTTGATCTGACAAGTGCAATTTATAACTATAAGTTATTCTCTATACTTTTACATTAATTTATTTAAATTTAAATTTCCAGTCTTTTTTCTTTTCATTGTAAATATTTTAACTTCTAAAGAATCATTGGACTGTTTGATTATTTCAAATCTTGTATTCTTAAAATACCATTAATCATGAGAATATTAGATGTGAGGTACTAAACTAAAAATATTAAATGGAAATGGTTTCATTCGATCTGTTACTTAAATCTTAAAAAATATATCCCTAGAAGTAACATATTAAGATTTCAGTAGTGAAGTCTTTCCTAAACAATCTATTTTCTCAAATTGTATATCTTATTCCAAAACTGCTTAGATATTATATTACTAAGTTTCATCAATAATTTCCAAATAATGATTATTGAAATTAATATACTTTATTTAATTTTTGTTATAGATATCTACGCTAATGTGATAATAATCAATACATTAGAGAATTATTTTATATTATTTCTCAATTTGTTGAAATTAATAAATTAATCTTCTCTATTTGTTATTGATCCTGTACTCTATTTTAGGAATTATCTTTTTTATACTATTATCATAATAGACATCAACAAAAATATCAGATTTACTTGAAACTTAAATTATATATTCTAAATCAATTCTCTCAATTTAAAAAATAAATACTCTTTAATTTTGACCAATCATATTTCTTCCATTGAATTCTTTACCTAATATTAAAGTAATTGGAATTTCTTGATTATTTAAATTTATAGAATAGTATGAATCCTAATAAATTCGCAATATACAAGATTAATTAATTGGAATGATATAATTAGAGTAGGTTAGATTCATATTTGTTACTTGATTGATTTTAGAATGAAAAGTCAATTTGATAGATTTTGAGTAAACAAATAAATTTAACTCTCCTGGTTCTAGATTAAATTCACATATATTTAAACAATGATCATAATATATTCTACCATATTTAATAGTTAAAGGAATAGTATTGTATGTTAGAATTAAAGATACTTCAGTTGGTCTAATAGGATAAAGTGTTATATTATAAATACAAATGGAACATAGATCTTTATCAATTTAGATTATACCTCCAAATAGATTATCATTATTTTGCAACTCTATTAAATCACTCTTATCTTTAATACTTATTGAAACTTTTATGTTCTTAATATCATAAATCATGATACGAAATGGTTCCTAGTGATTATTAAAATAGAAATATTAAATAGTATTATCAATGAAAGTATCAATAATTTATCCATTATGAATGTAACTCAATTAGAATCCACCAAGATGTAATAATACTTCGTAAATACAATCTTGAGCTAATACTCCAATCATATATTGTCCTATATTATCATCTTCTGATATTATAAGAGTATCTGAGTCAAATTTATAAGTGTATTAATCAACAGAAGGATAAAGAATCGAAGTGTTAATTTAAGATTTCAAGAGATAAATATCATAATCACAATCTTGGATTGCTCTTACAGATATTTAGATATCTTTTATATGTTCAATAATATTAAAATAGTAATAAGACATTGTATTTTAAGTAGAATATCCAATTATCATTTCAAGATTTCTAATGAGTGTATATTTAGAGGATACCATAATATTGAAATGATCGAAATGACCTAAAATATAAGCATTTATTAATAAGAGACATCCATTATCTTTACATTAAATCAAATCAGTTGTATTTATAAATAATAATTTATTTGATGGATTAGAACTAAATAATTCTTTAATTTTATAATTTTAATTAGTTGGATAATTTTCTTTGTCACTATGTTCAGGATCAAATTCAATTATATTACATAATAATTCTATTAAATTAGATCTAGTATAAGCTTGAATCTTAACTGATTGATTGAAATACTTAGGAATAAAATAATAAAAATAATAATTCTATTACTCTAGGGTTGGACTTATTTAGATGATATTATCTTTTAATTAAATACTAGAATTTCTTTCTTAAACCAAAATTGAATACTTATTAGATCCCTTGCTGTAAACTCCAATATATAATATAGTATCTTATATAAGATTAGGAATGGATATATAATAAGAACTTGGTTAAATTTGATATTCAAAATTGAATTCATCAGGACATTTATTATTAAGACTAATATAAATCTAAAGATTGTTTTCATCACTATATTCAGATAGATAAGTTTTAATGATGTACAATTAAGAGTATTAGTAAGAGGATTAGTAATAGAAATATAATGATTGGTTATCATTAAGGAAACCATAAAATGTATTGGACAAGAATAGTTCCAAATGTGATGTGTTATAATAGTACATAATTTGATAGGATTCATCCTCTTCAAGAGAGATTGATTTTACATGTAAATAATTAAATTACTTAGGATTTTCAATAATAAAAGTTTATTATGTACTTGTAAGGGTGAAATTAGTTTCATAGGGAAATTAGTTCCCAAAGTTTTTATTACTACTAAGAATGTAACATATAAAGTTACCCTATAATGATTTAAGGTTTATATAAAGGATAGCTACTTCAGTAATTTCAAAATGGAAGTAAAGATTTAAATCTAAAGTTTTAAATGGAATTGCTTAAATTAATTGAATATACTTAATTAGAGTATCAGATTTCATGCTAAGGATTGGAATAATAGAATATCTTAAGTGTTTGGTTGCTTATATTTATAGAGCATAAGAAAATGAATCAATAGCATAATATTACATAATGTCTAAGTCTAAAGTTCTTACTCTCTTTATTATAATATTAGTATAGTAAGAGGAAAAAGTTTTAAATTTCGCACTTTATTCACCTTAATATGTGGCTAGACAAATAGAGAATATTTAATCAGGTTAGTTAAATGTATAAAATTAATATTTTTCAGTATTTAATTCTTTTAGTAGTGAATAGTTTATTGTAAATGAATTTAATGTAATAAATTTTTATTGATTAGTTAATCTTCTTTCTAAAGAGAATCTCATTGATTCTACATAACTTTAGATTGCAATCACATATTGAAAATTATATGATTGATATTCAAACCATAATTTAGATACATTAATTTAGATTTATGATGAATTGATATGAAATTAAAAAGTATTTTAAGTTTATAAATGATCTTATGAAATTAATGATGCTTGTTCTTGAGTGATAGAACAATTATAATAATTATTAGAATCAGCTTATTGAAGATATTCAAATGTATTATCAATAATTTAAATCTCTTCTTCATCTTTAATACACAATTTACTCAAAACTATACCATGTCCTTTTGGATAATTTACAATTACATCTACAATTCTATCAATTTGCTCATTACTAAAAGGTTGTAATAAAAATAAAGCAATCTAATTTTTTTATAAGATCCCTTAAAATTCTCTTTAGGTGTTAAGTCTCTCCTATATATTATCATTTATTTTGGTTTAAAACACATAAAATGAATCATCATATTTTGAGTTGATTGCAATCAAATAGACTTTAGTGTAAATCATTTTATATGGAGGAATTATAAATTAATGATATTCTTGATCAAATTAAAATTACCATTCAAAATCTTAGTAATTATTTGAACATCTATCTTCTATGCATGGTTAAATATAGATTAAAATCTTTTTAGTACTAGGAATCATTTCAAATATCAATATATTATCCTTAAAATCTTCAATAATTAATTTATAAAAATTTACTCCATCCTTTATTACTGTATCCTTTATATTTTAATATAAAGTAATATCTTGGATTCTTTTATAAGTTTTACACTGTAATAAAAAATTTCCCCAACCTTTGATAAGTGTTGAAATTGTATTTATATGTTAAGTAAAATTATTTTAAAAAAATAAGTATTTGTCTCCATCAATTTAATATTGAACATCAAATTCTTATATAGTAGGAATAGTTTCATTCATATTAATGTAAATAGATAATTTACTAAAAGTATCAATTTACATTATCCTGATATAAAATCTTTCATATTCAATATTACTTAAATTAAACATTACTGGTTTCCCTTCTATCTAATTTGTTGATTTGAGAGTAATTTCATTACTTAAATAGTCATTCATATTTTCAGTTATTACATCAAGTTAATAATAGCAATTCATTTTGCAAAACACAAAAAAATAACAATAGGAGTTAATTTATGATTATTAGCATTTGCATAATTCTAAATCAAACAATCTACAATCATTAATTTGATTTAATGTTCTTTTATATTTAATACAAATTTACATTTGTTCTGATTGACTGAGGTGTAATATAATCTGTTAACTTGTATCATTTAATTGTGTTAATAAAACAAAAATATCCTTATTTATCATGTCTTATGGAATTTTGAGTCTAAATTAATGGACTGGATAAGTAAGCCATGAATTTGGAACTTCTCTAGTATTTTACCATTTGTAATCTTTACCCATAGAATTAATATGATTTATTGATTTCCAATTTGAATATTTCCCTTGATTTTACTATATTCAACAATATCAAAATAATATACATTTTATTATGTTTAATTAGACTGTTTCAGATAAAAAATGCACACCCTCTCCTTTACGTAAATGTTCTTAATATCATGTACCAAACTCTTACTTTTCCAAATAACCTTTAGAGAGATCATTTGAGCCTATAGAAAAACAAAAGACATTAAATGATGAGACACATGAAATAACAAGATTACAATAAATTATTGAATAATTAAAGAATGAAAATACTAAATTACATTCTGCATTACAACAATAATATCTATAATTCTAATATGAAACTCAACAATTAAATTAATAAATAGTCAATATGCAATCAGAATAACAATTACTCAAATAAACATTAATTGGCCCATCTCTTCAAAATAATAAAATGATTTAATATATTGAAGAATTGTCAACTTAACATCTAAATCTTCAAATTCTATACTAAGATGCATATTTATAATTATAAAAAGCAGAAATCTATTCTAATTAAATTATGTTACTTTAGAAAGAATTGAAAGGCAAAGAAGATGAGATTGAAATACTTAAAAATGAATTGTTAATTACTAGTAAAACAAATACAGAATAATCAGAAAATCAAATAATTTATGACTTTCTTAAAAATATTAAATAATAATATAATAATGATGAATGCAGTTCAGTACATTTATATGATTGATATAAAAAAAATTATTAATTCTAATAAAAGAGAAGTAAAACATATAAAAGATTAATCAATTTTGTTTGCATCTGCAAACTGGACAAGAATTGTTCATTCTTAACCATTTTGCAATACAATCCTCATGGAAACCATGATTACAATTCATCATGGCTATCTATTCTCCATTTCTAAAATCTTCTTGACAAATGTAACAAGTCTTCTCTTATTCACCTTAATGAGTTTATTTCTTCATATTTTTTATTTGATCTTCAGTGGCTCCAACATTTTAATGTTCATTCTCAACATCATTGAAAAATATGATGTGATAAAACACCCTCTATATTCTGGGTTGTTATTAATAGATTTAGTATTGTTTTGGGTGATTTTATTTGGTAACTATTTGTTCTAAGACACATCCACAATTTTAACAGAATTATTCTGAATTCAGTTATTCACCTTCCAAACGATAATGTTATTCATTTTAACATAAATGGCACCAATAGTTTTTGAAAGCAACTTGATATGAGCTATTTTACATTTCTTTTTATTTTAATTATTCTATGAGATTCATCTGCATCTCCTTTTGAAATAATTTATAGTATATTCTAGAAATAGAATTCTCTTTTAATTTCTAGAAATTTTAAGCAAAATTATATAAAATATTAAATTATAAGTTTATTAATATTCTAATAATTATTATTATGTTTATATAATGAAAGACAATCATTATTACTATGATAACATATAACAAATCCATTATAAAAATCATAAACAAATAAGATTCTCACTATTATATCAAAAAATATATTAATTATAACTTTTAATTTATAGTATTCCCGATTAATCAATTCATATAAATAAAGCATACCAATATCAGTTGTTTATAGAATTCAAATAGGATAGTTATATAATTAATAAGTGTTATTACTATTACTAATATTCATTAAATACTATATTTTGTTAATAATATAAATTCTATTAAATTAATTTTAATATATACTCCTAGAATCCACTTAAGAAAGTTATTGGAGTATTTAGCATTAAATCTGATATTGGATTTACTCTATTAAACTTTCCTCGACTTTAAAATTGAATTGATAATCAATATTAATATAATATATATATATAGGTTTTTATCAAACATAAAATTTTTTATTAAAATTTGTTAACATTTTTTATACATTTTTGAATTGTACTTTTAACAATCTTCTAATCTATTCAATTATTCTAAGATTCCCAAAGTATTGTAATTATTAACATAATTTGAATTTTAATTCAAGATAGTGGTTTTAAGAATCAATTTTGTGAAGTTATTCATTTTATTTTTTTATAATATTTACATTTGTCCCTACAATACAGCAATAGTTTAGGTATAATTAATTAAAGATTTTTAATAGTCATCAGAAATTATCTAAACTTAATGTTTGATTTCGAAATTCAATTTAGTGGAATAAGATTACTACATCTCCTTTTCGAATTCAATGCAAGATAATCTCCATTTATATTCTTATTATTTTAATAATTCATTTAATTTCTTATTTTCTTCATTTCTTTATTCGTATTATTTATTCAGTTCAGATTTGAAATAATTTGGATTTGATCTTAATTCTTTTTTGTTATAAAATAATTCTATTCTTTATGTTATTATTATAGTATAGCTATTTTTTATTCTAATTTGATAATGATTTAATTTTATTATTTATACTATTATTATATTTGTATCTAATCATTCAATCGTTATTGTAACATTTGATTCAAATTCTTATTCTCATTTTATAAAATATCAATTTTATCTGACCATCCTTTTTCAACAATTTGTTTTCAATCTAATTCAAAATATTTTAATAAATATTTTTATTCCAATTATAAAAATTATTCTATGAATATCTTATTTGTTTATTATGATTCTATTAATTAATAATTAGTTATATATTTCTATTCAATATTTAATTCTTCTCTCTCATTTAATATGTATTATAATTCTAAGATTTGTTAAGATTATTAATTATTAATTTTCTTGTAATATAATACAGTTTATTAGAGTGATTATGTATCTCTTTATAATGATTATAATAATCCAGTCTGATTATTGGTTTCATAAGCAATTTTAGCTTTCTCTAACCCTTACATTAATTACTCATTAATAAAAATGAGTTTTTAATTTTCATCTATCAAAATAGTAACCATATTTTATTAATTAATTAGAGTATGTTATTCTTTAGAGTTTTTTAATTAAAATCAGATGCTTACTCATTTTAATTAATAGAAACAAATCTATTCTCTTTAGTTTCTGAAACAATCTTCTAATTAATAGTATCAATGATAGATTAATTGTGTGATAATTATCTTGTAATAGAGGGTCTATTTGATAAAATTGGATTGGAACGCTATTTAGAATTCTCACTACTTACAGACACTGAATATAGATATTAATAAGATACATTATAAATCAAAATTATATTCTGAATGTAATCGTTTAGATTCACTTGATTATTGTCTGAAGATTTGATTCCTGAATTTAGATTGACTTATCTAATAACAATTTATGATTGTAGAGAATTCAATATAGATTGAGGGGATTATTTGTAATTTGAAATTGAAATACTCTGCAATATGTTTAAAATTAAAAATTAAATAATAATAAAAATGTTAAGAACATTTAAGTTTTGCACAGAATTTACTACCACACAATTCCTAAAACTAAGCAATCTTTAATTAAGTGTAATAATAATAAATAATATATTATAAAAGACATTAAATGATAAGATTGAGAATTTTGAGAATGTGGAAACTTCATTGTCAGATGGTGTACTTAATATTCATTTATAAAATGGGAAATCATTTGTTATTAATAGATAAACACCAAATAAATAATTATGGTACTCATCTCCAATTAGTGGACCATAACGATTTAATTATATTAATGGGAAATGGGTAAATTCAAAACAAATAGAAATAGAGAATTAGTTATTAAATGAAATTAATTTATTATTAATAAAATGATGATTACATAAAAATTTAGATATCAAAGATTTAAGAGTTTTTAAAGTACTTCAAGAATAGGTTTTGATCTTGGTCTAATGACTTAAACTAATTCAATGGCCTATTCGAGAGAGTAATTTAAATCCTAAACCATATATAATATAATAGTTTAAACACTCCTTTAAATTCCATCTGTACAATGTACATATACGCATTTACCTTCATCCAATAAATTTTTGAGAATTTAATAAGCATTAATTCCATTTTATAGATATGATCTCTTATTACAATCTTTTATTGGACAATGTTAATAGATAATACCAAATGATTGACTTTAAGATTTAAGTTGATCAAAATAATCTTCAGATAAATCCTTGTTTATTAAATCTTCAACAGTTTACAAATTTAGTATAGCATTTACACCCAAATCTTATAGAATGCGGATTTCACTATTATATTAATAATTATAATTACTCTATATAAATAAATGAACCAACGTATAGGTTTTCAAAAATACGATTATAATTAAGATTGAAATCAACATCAGAGTCAATCACATGAATTACATTATTAATTATTGAATGAGAATGGATCATTCGTACACCACCTCTTTCCCACTTTTCATTAGATTAGTATTTGTAGGCCAATTAATGAATAGATTTATTCGGGATCTGAAATGTAGATGTATATTCTCTCTCAATTCTATTTAGTGGAATCTTATGTCTTCCAGTTTATGTATATAGATTGAATTTTATGTTAGAATGTAGATAATTCATGAATTTTATAGTAATTCTAAGATGACCCCATATATCTTAAACATCTTGATGAAAATTAAACACTCTATTTATTCCATCTTCCCATTCTACAATCTATCTGTTGTCTTACTTAACAACTACATAACGATAATTCATAGGTAAACAACAGGAGTCCAGTGTTACACTCCAGATATCATCTTAATTCCATTACATTTAAATTCCATTCTATACATTCCATTATATTTTATGACAATCTCCAACTATTAGAATCACTTCACCATAATTAACATGCTTCTTAACAGAAATACAACTCATTAAAATAATTAATAATCTTTCAAATCAATATATGTGTCTTTAATACTCAACTAAATTACCAATTTCCTGTACTATCTAATTATTCCAAATTAATTCCTTCTCCATATCCTATGTATCCTAAATCAGTGAATGATCTATCAATCACACGATGATCAACATACTTCCCTTGTTTCTTTGGTAGAACTTCTACTTCAGGAGTTAATGAAGTTGATCCATCATAAGATCTTGTAGATGCCTACTAATACTTAATATTTATACTCTTCTATAATTAGTCAATAAAGTTGGCTGAATCCCTTCACTAATTTAACCTTATTCTAATTCTTCCTACTCTTAATTAATCCTCTTATGAGCAGTGTATTTCTTGTATTCCTCTTCACTCATCTTATGACCAATCTTCTCATCAGTCTTCTATTTAAACCATCCTGAAGGAGGAATATATTCTCTAAAATTTTAGAATTGGAACACTTGATCTATATAACGTTTCAATACATATTCGCTACTCACATTACAACATAATTCTCTCTTAAGTGTTTCCTAAGCAGTTGTACGATACTCTGGCATTTAATGTAACATTGGCAACATAAATGAACAAAATGATAATGCTTCTTAATTCTTGAATCGATATTTCTCAGTCAAAACATTATATAGATTCCAAAAATGTAATTATTAAATTCTTTTCATTACTCCATTTTGAGAAAAATATCGCTTAATTTAATATATAATTATACTTTAGCTTTTGCTCCTCTTGTTCCATACTCATAAGGAAATTTACCCAATAATTCTTATATCTAAGCTAAATGATCTTCATTCTTTGAAAAATTAGGCCCTTGTCTTGGTTCAAATAAATAATCTCCTGTTAGCATTTCAAAAATCATGCATGCAAAACTCCATATGTCTGCTGTTGGATTATATTTTATTCCCAATAATACTTCAGGAGATCTATATTGTCTTGTTTAAATTAATGTAGAAAAATGATGATGAATCCAACATGCATTACCCAAATCTGCAATTTTTACTCTGAAATTATCTGGCAAAGGTTTCTAAGTCTTAAATGATATCCTTTTAATTTAATTATTTATTATTTATTACTTTTTTTAATTGTCCTATTTAAATAAATCTTTAATTGATTTAGGCATTTCCTCTTCTTATTAATTTACATGCTTCTTCTTCTTTTTTCTTTATAATTTCCTTCTCTAAGTCTTACTCATCTAAGTATCTTCTTCTTCATGATCATCTTCCTCTTCCTTCTTCTACTCATCCTTAATTATACCCAACATCTTTCTATAAATATGAATTCTATCTGAAAATAGTTGATTTGATGTCAATTGTCCATTCTCTACAATATCTTTAATTTCCTCATCTGATAAACATAATAAAACATTCTCTGGTTTCAAATCAGTATGAATTACACCACAAATTCTATGTAAATAATCCAAACCAATTAATATCTATTTAGCCATTTTTCTCACAATATCCATTGAACACTAACTTAATATATAATCATTATACTCCTTTGTAATTGTATCTTTTAATTATTTCTAAGAGATTCACACCTAAAATCTCAAAAACCATACAAAAATGATGTCCATAAGGTCCTTTGTAGACAAATGAATTTAATAATTAAACTGTATGAGTATCATCTCTATTGAAATGTGTACGTCCTTCCTTATATTAATTATATGAAACTTATACTTCTGCATAATATTCTTTTAATGATTATATCCAAACAGGATTTTATACATTCTATGCCACTTTCTATAAGATTTCCACCTAAATATAAATCATAAAATTTACTTCATCATAAGCTGCTTCCAAGTAATGTGATGCACTCTTCTGAATTTTTAGCGCCACATATGTATCATATTTGAAATCCTTAGCTAACCACACAGTCGAGAAATGTCCCCAACCTAATTTCTGAATGATAACATAACGATTAAGTAACACTTCCCCAATATGAACAGGATGATATCCTTTCTGATAGTCATATTAAACAAACCTCCTATCTTATAATCTTCCATTCCCTCATCTTCACTGTCATGCTCTTAGTTTAGGTGATCTATCAACTCTCCTATCTACTCATTACTCACTTTTCAATTATCAATAACTCTTACCACCACTTGACATTTTTATAAATATTTTAATATTAATGAGACATAAATCAAATGAATTAGCCAATCTTTTAATTCCTGATTAATAACAATTCTCATTTAAACCACGTTTCTCTAAACATAAGAATTTTTATACCAAATAACCAATATTTGATTTGCATTATATTACTCCTACTCAATAATATGCTAAAATTATACTTAATAAGATTTGTCATATAGATAAAAAGGCTATTGTTAATGATAGATCAGAATCATCATATTAAAAGCGAAAACATTTTTCAGTAGATGTTGGTTTTACATCAAGATAATCTATATAGAAAAAATAAATCAGAATCAAACCAATTCAATAACCTAATTTATCAGCTGATCTTTAAATATCTGATAAAGATTGGTTAGCCTTTATATTAGATTGAATTCAAATTTATATATATATATCTATCATATAATATTTATATAACCAAATCATAATAATCTTAGATTATGTATAATTAATAAATTTAAATACTATTGACTAAGATGCTTATAATTTGTTGAATTCTTACAATCTTTTTTCATTCAATTTATAATATATCATTGTTTCTACATTGAATAAATAAATATTTAGAATATTTTCCAATTAGATTCCTAAATATAAACATGAATGAGAAAATACAAAAAATATAGTAAACTAAGTATTTGAATAATTTCTTACAATATAATCTAAATAATAAAAAAGATTAGTATTTCTATTCTATATTTTACTATTATTAATATAAATATGATTATTATTAATTTAATTATGATCATTATATCATTATTATTATATCATTATATTCCAATGTATAATAAAAATTTCATGTTATTTTTATCAAACTAATCTTCTGGATATACTTCTAATTCATAATCATGAGTACGTACTCCTCCAAAGTCTTCTGGAGTCAATTAGCACAATGATTACCAAGCATCTATTACTACTCCTGGAATAGAACCAGGACCACAATCGAATCTACAGAAACGATGAGCTGGTACTTGTACACTTACCATTCCTTCAGGTACATTTGTGGCATCACTTACTATTTCTCCCAAAACCATATTGTACTTCATCTCTTACCAATTCTAAGCGTTAGAATATCCAAAATATAAACAATGTGTTCTCATAGGATGTAAACGATTTGGTATTTTATCATGGAGCTATTTTCCATAATATTCTTCAAATGCCTTTCCAATTTGTCCAGTCTATGGGTCGATTTCATCTTTTTGAATAATTGTTCTTTGAATGCCTACTAAAGTGAATGAATCTAATTGAACAGTAGTTCTTGGATTTACTTTAACTGGATGATCCATTTGAAAACCTTTAATTTATTTATTTGTAAAATAAAAATAGCAATTTCCTCTTATAAACACATTTATTCCATATATGTTGAACACATTATTAATAAATACTATATTGATATTACACTATAATAACCATAAATAAAAATCAATTTTATATCTGTTATATTCCAATGTGCAATTCAACTTCCATATTTCCAATATCATTTTAACCTTCTCTATACAACTCAAATTCTGTTTTATAACTTCTTTTGTATCCCCACTCATCCAACTTGATAAGATACAATTTCTTCCAAGTATCTCTGGCAGCTTCTGGTATGGCTCCTGGACCTCCTTTGAAACATACATATGTTGCATCCTGAACCTCAAAAATATCCAAACCTTCAGGTATCTAATCAACCTTTGTGACTAATTCCCCAACCAATATAGATAAAGTAAATTTCGATTTATCTTACACATCTTGAAAATCATAATAAAGACAATAAGTTCTTCCTGGAATTGCACGATTAGGGATTGTATCACTAATCTTCTTTTCAAAATATTCTTTGAAAGTTCTTATATACACATTTGTATCAGGATTGGCCTCACTTGCAAAATGAACTCTTCTGCTAATTCCCATTACTGTGAATTTAGGAATATCAACTATAACTTTAGGGGGAACTGGATCCATTTATTTATGATTATAAGGGAATGTGAAAAAAAATTAAATTTTTATTATTTGATGGGATGTTTAGGTAGTCGTCTTTTGAATGATGAAAAGGCGTCATCTGATAATTTGTATATGTTATTGGATTAATTAGCAGAGGGATAGTTTGTTGATACTATTATCATCTACACATCTGTTTATAATTATTGTTACATCAAGTAGAGAAAGGAATGGATATTATAGAAAAAGAGAATTATAAAGAGTGTAGATAAATGGATGAAAAGTAATTTAGAATCTAGAAATTATATACATTCATTCTTGGATTCACATCCAGAATCTATAATTTTGTTGAGACCTCTTAGAAATTTTAAACCTGCTATTACTTAAGCTACTATACATACAGCTTTAATGAAAAATGATTTCTTTCCCCAATAGATATTTGTGAAATTTGTGGATGTCAAATAATCATAATTAATCAATTTTAGCAATAATGGAAAATACACTTTTTTTTTGCAATTGTAATTGTATAAGTTGCAAAGTCTTAAACAATTCTATAAATTCTAATAAATCTACACTATTAAGATATCTAAAATATTTAAATTTGCTCAATTTGAATTTTATGGTTTAATAGATTGGACTTCAACACACAAATATGCAGATTTATTAAAATTTATAAATAAATATGGATGGCATATAAAATTCATAGATATAAGCGAAAATGTATCTGAACATCATTAATGTATTATACTATATTACAAATTATAGATTTCAATTCTAACCAAGTATTTCATATTGAAGAATAAACTAAAGAAGATCTATTCATTATTATTGATCCATAAGGTAAAGTAATCAGAGCAGAAACACCTGAATTTTATGTATCCAAAAAACCAGATTAAATTTGTGAAGAATTTGATGATATTAGTTCATAAAAATCTAAAGCAATTAAATATGAGAAGAAATTACTTAAAGAATTACATATCCATTATTCATCATATATCAGTAAGAATAAACCATAAACTCCTAAACCTACATTAACAAAATATCAAATAATGCAATAACAAATATTTTAATCAAGTGAGACAATCAGTTATGTACAATACAAAGATTTTAAATAATTGTTTAAGAGTGCCCGTTTTCCTTAGATATTATCTAAATATCATCCAGGTGAACCATTTCAGTTTGAATTAATTAAATAGATCTATTTTAATTATGATTTTGATGAACATAAATTCAAAGAAATTACAAAAACATATTTGTTACCTTCAATATATCCTGCAGCTTCTATTTAAAAATAGAAAATACTTACAGAAACTTGTAGAGAATTAAAAGAATCTATTGGATTAAAATGGAAAGTATTGTTCTTGCATTATATTAGGACCCTGATTTAAATATATATTCTATTCCACATATATATACTTACAGTAAAATTGATTTAATGGATTTCCTTTAAGATTTCACTTAATAATTCCATTTTAAATTGAAATTATTCTTAATTAAAAGAAGGACTATAGAATGGTAGACAGATAATAAAAGTGATAATAAAATAATGAGAATTCGTAATTAAGATAAAATTGAATGGACTAATTAAATGAGAGATTCATTTGTTTTTTTGGATATGTATGAATTACATAATAAATCTATTGTAATAAAAAATTTAGATGAATTAAAGTTATTGAAATAACAATAAGAATAACATATTGTTTAATTTAAATAAATCAAAACTTAGAATCTTTGTGGTAATAGTATGAATTTGATTAAGAAATATATATATCATGGTATTGATTATTAGATATCAATAAATGAAAAATTGATGGATTTTGATGAATCTATCAAAATTACAATAAATACTTTGATCTTTGTTTTGTATGATGATTTTGAGAAATAAATACTAATAATTTTAAATAAATTGGCATCTATTTAAGATGAATTCTAAGAGCCTACTAATATCATAATTATCACTTAATTAGATAATACTAGTAATATAATAAATGAGTTTATTACTTAAAGAATTCAAAAATTACAAATTTAATTTTGTCATTTCAATAATATTTGGAATTAAAATTTTGGATTATAATTTAAATAAGATATTGTAGAGAAATACTTTAATGTTAGAAGAGATTATAAAGCAGTAAAAATAATATTTAATTAAATGATAGTTTTATGTTGATAAATATGGTTATTTGATGGCAATTCAATCAAATGATGAATTTATTGATAGTATATGGATAAATAATTAAAAAGAAATTGTAGTAGATTGGTTCATTCAGCAATTTGGGTAATATTATCATATAATAATTATGTTAGAATGACACATAAAAATGATGATATGGAATGGAAATAAATTAAATAAGAATGTTGTTAATTCAATTAAAAATATGATGAAATTGTTAGTAGTTATGAAATACCAAAATAGATGATAATAACAATAAAATCGATTAAATGTTTACTATGGGATAATCACAATTATAGTTTTTTAGAATATTCAAATTGTCCAACTATTACTCATAATCTAAACGTAAAGTAAATAGCTTTGTTAAATATTTTCATTCCAAATATAATAAAATTAATAATTTGAATACCAAAAACTTTAAAATCAATAAAAATCATCATCCTAATCAAATGTATTATTACTGGCAACAACAGCCTATTATTTATATACATCATATAAAAATTATGAACTAGTGGCTTCATTAGGTTTCTTATCTTCTCTTACTTTAATCAATCTAGGAAATCTTAATCCTACACCTTTATTATTTTATTATAAGATAGTAGAACAAGCACTATAAATAGGTGATATTTGAATGTCAGCACTCTTGATTTCCCAAACAACAACAGGACTAAACCAAACATCCATATTCACTCCATCACATTTATATTCTTATAATGGATGTGGAATTAAGTATTCTTAAAAGAATTAAAAGAACTTTTCTAAATTTTCATCACTGAATCCTGTTCCAATCTTACAAGTAGTTTCATATTGATCCATATCTTCATTATAACAAGCTAATAAATAGCTTCCATAAAATCCCTTTCTTTTTCCTGTTCCATAACAAGCACCTATAGGTACTAAATCAAATGTATCAGATAATCCATTATCTAAATAATCCTTTTTTAATTTTAACCAATTAAATGATCTTTTAGCTGGTTCATATTATGAATTAATCTCTAAAGTTTTGATCATCAAACCTTCACACCCCATTTTAATTGAATTTAATAGAAATTCTTCTATTTCTTCAAAATTTTCTGAATCTCTAGAAGTTGCAAATTTTAATTTTCCTTCCTCCTCTTTAAATGTTTCTCTTAATGTCTATCTCCTTTTTTCTAAAGTCTCTTTCAAATAACTTTATTTATTCAAATATAACAAATCAAATATGTATAAACAAACTTGAATTTCAATTTGATTTTAATCAACATTTTTTTTAGCTCTACTTGTTAAAGTTTGAAATGGTAATATTCTATTATTTACAACATCATAGGCAACAATTTCAGAATCAATTATGAAACCATCTAAATGTTAATAATGATTATGAATATATGTAACAATATCTGGATATGTTTGAGTCATATTTTCTAGATTTCTAGAGAAGATACTCACTTAACCATTTTCAAAATGAATCTATCCTCTTAATCCATCATATTTATATTCACATGTAAATTTCATATTTTCAAATCTTTAAAATATCATCTAAATAGATTTCATAGGTTTAGCCAACATAGGTTTACATGGAACTCCTGGAATTATATGACATAATTCAGGAACTTCTTTTAAACTTTGAATACTAAATAAAGTATCAATAATCTTTTTATAATTTGGACATTCACATAATGCTTAATTTATAATACTTTCATAATCACCTTCAATATTCCCTTTATGATATAATTAAAATGCTCTAGCCAAAGCAGCTTACATAGTTTTTTCAGCTGCTCCAATCTTTAAATTTTTTTCTATAAATCTTATAATATATTTAGCTTCAATAGGTTTAGCCATTCTTAATAAATTAGTCAAAATTCTTTCTTTTTCTAATGAACTTCCTGTGCCTTCTTATTTTTGTAATTACTGTAAAATGTTAAATACTTAAATCATTGTTAATTTAACTTCCTCCTTGACACTTTATGATACAAAAAATTTATTTAATTATGTTTAAGTTGATTTAGATTTTTCAATGGCTAAACCTAAATCTCCCAATGTGTTCATTAATTCTCTCACTTATTTTTCCTTTTCATAGTTATATTTTATATACACTCTTCCCAGAAACGGCACTTATAGATTTAACAATGATTCCTTATCCAATCCCTAATTCCCATGATTCATAATCAGGTCCCAATTTCAAAATACTAAATAAGTATGCTGGTACAAATTCTTCCCTATTTTCTTTCATGATTCTTATAAACATTTTTGCTACTAATTCTTTAATAGCATCCTTTGAATTTTAACCTTTTATTTCTCCAACCTTAAATATTGAAATTATACTATACTTGTTCATATAATTCAGCCATATCTATGAATAAAACAGTACCTTTAGTTTCTATATTATGTTATTTTGATTTAGAGGAAGGGACTTTTTGTTCTATAATTAGTTTTTCCTTTTTGAGGTTTTCTTCTATAAATTATTATTCTTTAATTTAATCATTTGAATCATCTCCTTTCTTACTTGATTTAAAGAATGAGGCAATCTTTTTTTGCATAAGGCGCGTAATAAATTAATTAAATTATACTTATTAATATGGCTTCCTATAAATCTATTTTAGATGGACTTCTTGATTCAGTGTCTAATATTGTTGTTGCTAAGATACGTACATTAAAATAAACATACAATGATTCATCTTTAAATCGATTACCTGCAAGTAGTGATACAAAGTTATCATTACTTGGATCAAAATAATTTCAAATACTTGCTAATCAAGTTGAACAATTTATGTAGAGTATTTCTCTATCATATTACTAAAGAATTACTAAATGAATTCAATCAAGACTTAGAAGAACAATATAAACATTAAATAAATAAGCAATATTAAAGACCGTTAACAGTAAATACATAACTAAATTAGGGTACAAATGGTTAAGAATGTCAAAGAGAATAAATAAAAGAAGAATAAGAAAAAGGACTTGTCATAATGTTCCATAATAAGCAATCAGATGATGGTGAAACTACTCTCAAAGTAATAATATTCATTTAATACAGTTCAATCATCTCAAAGATTTTTTATACTATGATAGTAAAAAAGCTAAATAAGTTTAAAATTTATCAATTGAATTCAAATCATAAGGCATGACTGATAATAACATGGAACATTTTATGAAAAAATTCATTCAATTTTATAATATTGAACATTTGAAATTAAACTTAGGATGGTATATATATTATAATATAATAAGTAACTCATTGACTGTTATTGGAGCTAGATAATTAGCTGGTTGTTTTACTAATTTAAATCATTTATCTTTTATGGATATTTCACTTTATAATAATAAAATTACATGGGAAGGAATTGATGCTTTAATGCATGCTTTTAAACACCTAAACAATTTAAAAGATTTAAATTTGGATGTATCCTGTAATCCAATAGGAAATAAAGGATTTGTAATTGTTTCTAAAGCATTACCTGAAATGAGGAGATTACGCAAATTATGGTTATCTGCTTATGATATAGGAATTAATGATGAATCATTTAAAATATTTATCAATGAATTTTCTAAATTACCTTCATTATTAATAGCTAAATTTGATTTTAAAGTGTAAGAATATTAATTTTTATATTTAGTAATCCTTTTAATAAGAAATTAATTCAAGAATTGCAAAAGATGATTCATGAAAAAAAGATTAATAATTATGAGATATTAGTATGATTAGATATAAATTATCATTATTTTAATAATTAATGTTCTATCACTTTAACTTATAATTAAAATCTATAAAATTTAATTAATTATATATAATCTTCAATTTATTTTATTTCTTCACCTAAATCAACATCAAAAATTAAACTCTTTAATTTCTTATTTTCCTCTTTTAATAATTTAATCTAAAAATTATAGACAATATAATTCTTAATAATTAAATTTATCTAGATTTATATTTCTTTAAGAATTCAATTATTATTGTTATATCTTCTCTTCATAAATAGCCGCTGTTCATATTTTTAAATATATTAAACTTATTATATTTGTTATGATTGAAAATCTACTTAATCTAAATTTGTATATTAAGAATATGTTTTATGTAACTATTCATTTTCATTTATTTAAATTTTGATTTTGGATTCAAGATCTTATAATAATGATTTAAGATCTCGTATTTATTTGATGAATCTAATTATTTTAAATTCTCACAATTTATTTATTCCAATTTTAATAATATTCTATCATATTCTTATTACATCTACAATAATTGATTTAACTATTACTCATTTCTTTATGTAATTCTTAAATATCACCAATTTTCAATAAAGTGATATAATCTAAATTCAATTTATTATTTATTGTTTAGAACATAATAACTTTATTTTCTAATTCTCTAATAAATTAAGTATTATTAATTCTTTAGATTTATAATTATAATTTAAAAATGCATTCTTATAATTTCTAATTTAGTTCTTAATTATTATGACCGATCTCTATATCCAAGTGAGTGAATTTCAATGTGTTTTTATTTTTTGAAAAGTTATCAATTACTGAAATGAATTCCTACATTAAGGAGCTGGACTCATAATAATTGAATTGTATTATTGTTAGATCTGTTGTATAATTTTGAATTAAACATTATAATTTTAATTACTTCTATGATTACTATTAAGAGTAGAAATTTAAAATTATGTGTTTTAAGGTGTGATTCTTCTATTATTTTGATTATAATGAATCTATGAAAGTAGTTATCTTTGCATATTTAAAATAAACTGTTAATTATAATTATATTAATCAAGGTATATACTCTTTGAACAATGTCTCTAATAACTAAATTGGATCCTTAAACTCTCCAAATCTATCTAGTTTCAAATATTATTAATTAAATTATCTCACATCTTTTGCATACTTCATTGCCATTAAATAATTTTGTAAATAAAGTAATTCCTATTAATAATCTATTATATTATATACTTAATCAGATTTATTATCATAGAAATTCAGGATCGGAATACCATTCAATTACTACATACAAAATGAATATGCAGCATTATCTACTAGTACCAGATCCGATAACATTCTGTTTCCAATGACTCTAAACCAAAAACAATCACTGAATACCTTAAATCTTTAATATATGCTCCTTCTTCAGTCTATACACAACTCTCCCTGAAGAATCGATGTGATATCCATTATTTTGTTGGATCCAAATAATCAATTACAACATTTGCATAACAAGAATGTGAAGCTGTGAATACAATCAATTCAAAATGTCTACTCAATGTCTATAATACTTATTGAGCATAAGGTCTAATATTAATAGATGCCTAATTTAAATTGATATAATACCTCTATCACTTCTCCTGTTTGAAATCTTATAGGTAATATAACATCACCTGGTACTTTTATTGATTCATTACAATGAATTAAAGTTTCATCTAAATCAAACACTATTGTTTTTTTTAATGAAATAGATGGTAAATTTACTCTTTTCTCTTCATACTACTAAGAATTCATCATCTTAGAATACTAAGCAGCTGATATTGATTAAACTAAATGTTCCCTCACTTATTATATTGGTTTTGTGATTTCAGGTGTCATATAACATCTAATAACAGATGAAATATAATATAGAAATTAAGTTTCTGATCTTGTTGATCTTTCTCTATAATTGTTTGAAAATGCTATTCTCTAATTCATTCCTTTAGCTGATTCAGGATGAATTTAGATTATTTTTTAGATATTGGTTTCATTACTTGTTTTCTATTATGTTACAAAAGTTGATAAGGATGGCTTCTTATTGAGATTATCATTTTATATTACTTTTGGATCATTTACTATAGTATTTGATTTTTATTTATTTTGCATTTAGTTCAAATCAAGATCATTTTTACTAATTTTTGGTTTATTAATGTGTTACTATTATTATTATTATTGGTCGGTATTTTTAGTATTAAAAAATCTAGATGCCAAACCTTGTTTAGTTTATCTTTAACTATTATCAATATGTGATTTGATATTTATGATCTTTTATTCTAAATATGACAATTTGTCTTATAATTTTCCATATTCAAAAATCTCTTTAGTGTTTTGTTTCTAATTCTTATTATCTTATTGATTAGATCTAATTTCCATATTTTCTTTTTAATCCTTAAACTAATATGGTTATTTGCTCAATTAAGTTGAACTCTTCATTTAAGTTAATTATTTTATTTAGTTAGCTGAACTGGGTCTTGATTGTTCTGGGATATACCTTCCCAAATTCTTTTCAGATAAAGGTCTTCTCATTTCATACATGTGAACGGTAAAATTTTAATTTTTAAATTAATTAGTGTTATTCATATATTATATATTAATTGTTCAAATTAAACAAATTAATGATAATAATAAATTACTATTAAAATGAGATTAATTATGAATTATCTAGGATTCATTTATGTGAACTTAAAATATATATAATTCATTATTTTTTATATTATTATAATAGTTCATGCATCTTATCCTTTGCAGTTTATTCTCTACCAAACCATTCTTGAAATAAAATTTTGAATATTTTATTTTCCCCTTCTCTTTTTAATAGAAATACCCTTAATTTATAGACAAGTCCTTAAGTGATTTAAAAGCCAATAAAACCATTTTATATTTTCTCTATGCTTCGATGATTCAATATTGTTAACAAATACTTACTTTATTTCATACGTTAGAGTAGTTCTTTTTCAAGTGATTGCTCCATGTTATTAATAATTTACTTTTTTTGTTTTTAACATATTTCAATACCAATTTTTATTATGATAGAATTTCGTATAATTTATAATTAATTGTATCATAAAATCTTTAAAACTTATAAAAAAAGAACCTAAAAAATATAAAATTCAAATGAATCTAAATATCTTATAAATGGAAAACTAATCAAATCCTTTGTTTCTACAATTAGATTTCCTCTATTTTTTTTTAAGCTTACTCTAAATTGTCAAATGTGTATATATCTGGTTCAGCAATAACCACTTTTTTAGGGATAACAAAACAAAAATAAACCCTTAGTTTATACCATAAACCTTTAGTAATCATGAAACCATAATATCCAAAGTCAGTTTTTATGATAGTAGATTCAACTAAACTTGTGAAAAAGTATTTGTCCTTATCCATTTGTGTTTATAGCTAATTTTTAGCAGACATCAACTTAAAATTTTTATAGTTATTTAATTATTGTGTTTGTGCAATGATATTGTTTTTGATAGAATAATCATGTTTAATAGAATTACAAATTTATTTTGCTTTTCCATTTTCTCTATTGTATCTCTAAAAAAATCATTTAATCTCTTTATTGGAAATAAATCTATATGCATTACATTATACAAATGAATTTAATTTCAAAGAATTTCTATCTATTTCTTTAATATAATATTTAATTATTTGACAATAAAATTGTTACAATACCCACAAGAATTCATTATTTTTATAGATAAGCAATAAAGTGTGATATTTATTGTTATTTAAATATAGATGTTTTAAATACAAATAATGATATATTAAATTTATGAACAATTTAATCTAAATACATTCCTTTTATCAATTATTTTTAAGATTATGGTAATGCATTCTTTAGAAGAAGAAACGAGTAATTTTATTCTTAAAATTCTCCAATTTCATATATATTGTGATATAAATTTTAGAATAAAATATTAAATATTGTTTTAGGATAATTAAATATTATAGTTTTTATATTGATCTATCTTAAAATGTAAATTGATTTTATTCTTTTCTTTTTAATTTCTTATATATATTTGTAGTCAAATATTTATTAGATATTTAATCAATCTCATTTACAATCAGTGACATACATTATTAATCATATTTTTATATATTTTCTAAGTATTGTGAATCATTATAAGCACAATATATTCCATATTGATTATTTTAGCATATAATTATCATTAATTAAAATAATAGTGATGATTATAGATGATTATAATAATGATGCAAATGATTAAATTTTTCATTCTTCATGGGCATGACTGGGTTATGTTCCCTTAATCATCCAACAGACATATGCTGGGTATCCTAATTAGAGAGCTCTTAATGATCTGAAAAACCACATGTTTGATTTACTTCTAAATAAAAAATATTAATAATTAATCATTAATCTCCAGAAGAAAACTTGAATCTTTGTTTTTTTGATTTGACTTTCCCTTAATTATCTGTTATAAAATTAGGAATAGTAATTAATTATTATGATTTTGTGATATTATTTATTGGAACTTCAATTTCCTATGCATATTATTTATTTAATTCTTGAGTCAAAGACTTAGAATCTAATGATAATTTATCTAATAAGCCACAAAAGCTATTTGATCTGGACATCTTCTAGGATTAACAATCTTCACTTTTTACACATTACTCACCTTAATAATAACTATAACACATTTAATATTGCTACTATGCCAAATAATACTGATATTACTATATTAAATATTATTGTTATTATAAGTAATTTATATTCCTTTCTAAACAGATTACTTTTTATGGTTTTTCATCTTGCATACAAACACCAGTATTATTAAATTATGAAAGTACTAATTTTTGTATTATATTATTTATCAACACACCTATTTCTAACTATTATTAATTTCCCTTTGTTTCCTTATTTATTAGACTCTTAAACCTATTTTTAACTTAATTCTCTGTTCTATTTTTCATTTTATATGAAATCTTAGACCATTTCATACCTTCAGATTATGCTAGCTTCATTAAACATAAATCTTCTTCTGGTTTCCAATTATTCCTAAATAAAGAACTCTCTTTTATTTTACCTATTTATTTAAGGATCTAAATAATTGTTCCATCTCTCTCTACATTATTTTGCTTTCTTAAAATATCTTCCATTTGATTTCATAAATATCTAAAATTGTATTTCATGCCATTTCAAATTCTTGCTATTTTCTACTTCCTCTTTTAACATTTACTCTTCTTCCTAAGACCATTATAATCTATCCTCTCTTCCAATTACATGACATAGCCATTTATATTAACAATTTAAACCATTTTTGAATTTTATCAACTTCTCAATCATCTCCCAATCATTCTAAATATCAATATTTCATTACCATTTTTAAAAGATTCAATTTATGAATTGTACAATATGATATCACTAACCAAATCAATATTTTCCATTCTTGGTCTGTCCATTATGTTTATGAATGCATTTAAAGGAAATTCCTACATAATGTTTTACTCTTACTTTTAATGCTCAATTGCATAAAAGTCTTGCACTTCAGCAAATGTTATCACATTCTAAGTTAATCTAAAATCGACTAGTTTTGAATACTGAGTCAAATTGATATTCCAATCCTCTTAACCAAGACCCTTGAAGTAATCTAGAAGTATACTTCCATTAGATTTTACACATTAAGATTACATTTAATATTTATCACAATAAAATATGACCTGTGAATCTAAATTCAAAGATTTTATTCACTAAATCGGTTTAATAATTTCCATTTATACTTATATATATACTATACAATTATTTATTAATCAAAAATTATGATGTTCCTCTATTACAATACTGATGTTTTTGATTTTAATTATGTCAATCTCATCTTAATATTTAATTTATCATTTTATAATAATATAAATAAACTATGAATTTTTTTAAATCATCCAATTTATGTAAATTTCAATCTTTATTATTCTTTCGTTGACTTCATAATATTTTTATTGAAATTTTATAAACGAAATTTTATTATAATTTAATAACCATCAAATATCAGTTTTTTAGCAATTTTACAATTGAATTTATTATTAAACTTAAGTGACATCTATTATCAGAAGTCTCTCTATATTCTAATATTTTAACATGTTAAAATAAATATATTAATTGAATGCTTATACAATCAATAACCATAAAAAAATTTTAGAATATTTAATAAAAATATTCTTAACGAAATAATTTATAGAATTTTGACTATTTAAATCAATCATAATATATGATATTAAATTCTTTTTATTTAAATGATTATCTTACTATTGCTAATAAATTATGAAATATTTCTTTAAAATTATTATACATTTAACTTTTATCATAAATTGTTTCTAATATGTTATTCTTACCTATTTATATTTTATTAATAAGGTTCTTATGTCTTTGAAGAAATTGTAGTATGATTTTTCATTTTATTTACAAAATGTATGTGATTTCTCTAAAACATTGAATAATTTTTAATTATATTTTTAAACGATGATAATTAATAGAAAATAAATTTTTATGATAAAATACATTAAATTAATTATTTTAATTATAGGTTTCAATTTTTTTTTACTTTAGAATATTTTAGACCTAATATGTTGTTAATTTTTTAAAAAGTCTTAAAAATCTTAAACAAAATTATTATATATTTTTCAGATTAATTAAATCTAAATAATAAGTTTTAATTCTTTAAGTTAATCTATGAATTTGTATAATAAAAAGTTAAATATTTAATGATTAAGATATATAAATATAATTCAAATTGTAACAATCCAAGTTCTAATTTGCATAGGTCCAACTTAGTCTTCATCATAATTTTATTGAGATGATTCTTTATTGTAATTGTCTGTCCATTCTAAAAATGAATGAAATAAAATATTACTTATTCTATTTAATTCCCAATTCTTTAATTCTTAATTGCCAGTTAAAGTAGTTTCCACAAATCTTAGGCCTGGTGGAAAATTAAGTTTTTAGATTCCTTTTTCTCTAAAATTATGGACTCTAACTAAATATTAATTCTCATTTATCCAAGGTTCAATATAGAATTTACATAAATTGTCATCTGTTTGTTGTTAAATGAATGTTATAAACTTATTTTGTATTTATTAATATTAATAGTTGATTTATTTCTATGTTGAGAAATAAATTAATGGTTAAAGATCTTGTTGATATTACAATCTTCTTACAATATTAGGATTAGATTTTTAATTATAAAAAACAATAATGTGAGAAATCATTTATCTCATTCCAACCAATTAATTATTAACCTCTTCTTGTTCATTAAGTCTTTCATTAACTCCTTTATAATCATCATTATTTAATCTTCTATGTAACATTAATTCAATAACACCATTACTAAGACTAGTACCTCCTTATGATCTATCATTTATAACTGCACATGCTTAATCTTCATCTTAATTTTTGATCATGATAGCACCATTAACAGGGTAATAATTACCGGAGACTGGTTCTAAAACTTTCATTTACCATGAATCTCTATGGTTGACTTAACGTTTTTAAAATGTCAATCCATTACTATCTGTATAAAATATTTATTGATTATTAATATCTGTAAGGAATTATATAACAACTTCTTATCCTTTATAATCTTACAATATGATAGAATCAACAAAAGTGTCAACATAGAATATATTTTCATCATTATCAAAATTTGTAACCCATGCTTTTATTGCTGTCTTTTCAATATAAATTTATTTAACCATATTACCAGTAAATTTATATGCTTTGACATAATCACCATATGGATGTGAATAACCATCTGGTTTAAATACATAAGCACCAGAAGAAGAATAATAGAAATTATAATTTAGTTTGAATTTATCAAATAATTTTGTATCACTATCAATAGAGATTTTTTCAGGCTCTATTTTTATTATATGAGTATCTTTATTTGATTCAACAGTTTATAATTTAAAATTATGAAGGAATTTTGAATTACCAACAATTCTTAATAAATACAGAATACATTATCCATTTAGACATAAGATTTCTCCAGAAGCAGGATTATTTTATTCATAAGTAGCTTTTATGTATAAGTTATCTGGTACATATATTTTAAGGTATTCTTTCATTCCATTATTATTTACCTTAGTATCAATTATAGTTAAAATGACAGTTTAATTTTTGATTAAAGGATCAAATAATGAATGACAAACATTAGTTCCATTAAAATGACAAGTAGTATGAGTAATTGATTTAGTATTTGATAGACTGTTGAGTAGAGTACTAATTTAATTGTTCATATTCTGATAAGCAATTTCAATCATTTTAATATAATCATTATTAACATATTATTTTGCAGTTCCAGTGATTGCATCATGATGTTAAGCAGTACCTAATGCTTCAGCCAAATTCTTAAGATTTTTATCATCACAAAGAGACTTGCATTGATTATTAATTTTGATAAATGAATAAAAATATTTGACTTATTAGAAATATCTGCCAATTCTTCTTACATAACCTTTAAATGCTGATCTACTAGTGAAATAACCAGACCAATATTGATTAGGATAATCAGCATATGGAAAGAAATCTTCCTGTTAAGAGGGATAAGTAATATTCTATTCATTTAAAGCTTAAATGTATTATTTTGGTGTTCCATATTGAATAATCATTTTATATTTTTCTGTATTTTTATTAACTTAATTGATAACTCTATCCATTTAGCTAAAATAAGAAGCCGCATCTGACCATTAGAAATCCATTCCCAAAGTATGTGCCAATATATTACCTCTATATACAGTTTATTATTATTTGAAATATGCAGCAAGTTCTTCTGTTTTTTATTACAAATTGGAATTTGTAACTTCTTATCTATTGGGATTGGTAATATCAAAATCAAAACCTTTAGGTGATGAATAATAACCATAATAGTTAACATGTGTCAATATGGAATGTCTTTAATCAGAATCAGGATGAATTACAAATTCTAATTCTTTCTTATTTTCTCTAATTTAACGATCTTCTTAATCAATACGTCCAAAAAACCAAGCATTGAAACCCATCATATTTGAGAATAAAGCTTAAGTGTTTGAATGTCCAAATGGATCTACTTGCCATCCAATTGATGGAATATAATTAAAATTTTAAAGTAAAAATTTATGTCCAAGTGTCATCTAATCTATTATATCTTCATAATATGATGTTGCTTCATCATTCATACACCAACCTCCACTTAAAAATTCTAACTATTAATTCTTTACTAATTCTTTTACATTCTATTTCATTTTATCATTTTATTCATTCCACCAACTATTATATATAAGTGAATTCATTTTACATAGAAAAGAAAGCAATCTCAACTTAAGAGAAGTGTTTAGTCTTATCATGTATTAATTATTCCATATATGAATTAATAATTTATTTGACTCCATTTTAATCTTTGTAATATTCCATCATTGTCCTTACCCATCCAACATCATCATGTGAATGAGGAAATAAGAACACTCTTAAATAATCTGATTTAACCTTATTAACCTTTCCTAAGAAATTACCATAAACTATTGATATTATGATTAGTAATATAATCATATATATATATATAAAATTATAATTATAAATGTCTGAATAAGGAGAATAATAATAAGGAGATGAATTATAAGAGGATGAATAATAATAATAATAATAAGATTAATAACCATTTCAAATTGATACTTAAATTGTAATATCATATTTCATTTTATCAAGCCTCCTGAAGATGCAAATGTCTTTATGACTCAATAAAAACTTGAATAGAATTAAGTCTGGAAATGTTTTGATTTCTTATTTCCAGCTGGAAAATTAGCTAAACTTATAAAAGTTAATTATACACAACCAAAAACATTTCCAATGACTGAAATACTTACAAAATTGAAATTAGATGATGGATTACCTGTTGTTAATTTTATTGGTTGCAGACACAATTTTGATAATCCAAATTCTAATCGTGGCAAATTCTATGCTGGTATTGCTAGAGCATGTCATAATACTGATGCTGTTATTATTGATAATGGAATAACAACTGGAATAGAAAAATTTAGTCTTAGAAGAAATTGTACTGTATTTATCATATTCAAATATAGCTTATTGGTGTTGCACCTGAATAAATTGTATCATATCCAAAATTGAATCCTACAAAAATTGAAAAAAATGAATTAAGTAATGGTCATACACACATCTTTTTAATTGGAGGTGAAAATGTTCATTTAGGAACTGAAGCATTATTTAAAATTAATTTATGCAAAGCGTATAATATTAATTATTTATATTAGAATTGCAACTGGTAAAATTAGTAAAACTTAAGGAAGACCAAGATGTAAAATTGTTAATATTTTATTTGCTGATTCTAATGATTGTTTTGATGAAATTAGAGAAGCCATAATTAATAAATTACCTATTATTGTTGTCAGGGGATCACATCTTTGTAATTAATTTATAGATCAAGAAAAAATACTTGATGCAGGTATTATTTATTTATTTCATCATAGAATTTGAGGATATTATGACTGATAAAGATGGATTCTTCTTTCCATTAAAAAAACTAGATTCAGAAGTAATTGCATAAATGGTACATTATCTTTTGACATATACTCCATAAAAACCTAAATAATAATGATTTATATATTTCTAATTCTATCAAAAAATTTATTATAATTATTTATAATATGGAAGAAAAAATCTCTTAATCGTAAATACAAATACAAAAACCTAATTGTTTGTCCGAATCAAATCATCAATAAGAAAAATATTTTCAATAGTAACAAATATAGACCTCTCCTTCTTTAATATAACAAGAAGAATAGTAATCCTTAGCAATCCCTATAAATAATTATAATCCAGTATAACAATGAAATCTAACCAATAAAATGATAAAATTTTAAAATGTGCTCATCCAGAGCATTAAGAAGTTATTTAGGTGATTGTACTTGATCCAACGTTAATAAAAAACTAAAGACTTTTTTGTAAAACATGTTTAGAAAACTTTGAGACCAATCATAAAACTATTGGATTTAAAAAAGTAATGGGAATGACTGAAGAAAATTACAAAAAAAAAAGGTAATTTAGAGAAATAATTTACAATTAAAAATTCAAAGAACTTGAAGAGTTGAAACAAAAATTTATAAAATTAAAGAGCTATATAAACAGAAACTTAGATGAAATAATAGAAAATACAGAAATTTGGATGAAAGATTTAACTAATTATAAATTATAAGAATTTAATTTTCATAATGAAATAGATTGGATAATTCAATATAATTAACAAATTGAAATAGAGTAATTAGCTTAAGAAGTTAATCCTATAAATTACAATCACATTAAAAAATTGAATCAGAAATTAGAATAGTTTTCCTCATTTAAAGAATATTCTAATTGTAAAAATATATTGAATAACTTACAACCAAAAAAAATAAAACAATAAAGGCAAATAATAATATAAGAAGTAACAAAAAGGGATTAAGTAAAATATAAGGATTAACATAAGAATAGAGACAGATAAAAATCATAACAAAAAGATGATAAACTAAATACTCTTACAAGAAAATATTGAAATATAAATAATCAATTAGTGAATTATTTTTTAAATGATTTATATATTTAGATTATCCAAAATAAATTTATGTGAATAATAATAGAAATTATTACAATATTTTAATAATATAGTTTAAGTATATTATATAATAAAAAAGAAATGAAAAATCAATAAGGATATCTATCAGAATAAGACATAAATTAGAATCATAAAAAATGTAGTAATTGTTATAAAATGGTGAATGAGAAACGTAATTCATTATTATTCTCATTGGCTCAACCTAATCGAAATAAGAATACATCATTTGTTCCTGAATTTTAGGAGATGCCAATATTATAACGAAGAAAAAGTTATTAAGAAGGTATTTCAGGATAGAAAATGAATCGATTAAATTGTATATACCCTCAATCAATTTGTATGTAACATGCAATTTAGAAATCAAAGATAGACAATAAAGCTACACTGAGAAAGGCTGTAAAGAGAGCTTCAATGATGATGTCAACAGTGAAATATTGGAAGGATCATTCTTAAAAGAAAATTGAAATTCCAACTATCATTAAATCAATTCATACAAAAGATAGTTGTTTATATGATAAAAATGCATTAACAACTAGGAGTATAAAAAAAAATGAATTACCTCCTGTGCTTCTCAGTTAATTTAGAATTAGAAATAATGAAAAGTTAATTAAATATAGTCGAGATAGAACTGCAGATAAGACTAAGTCAGTTAGTCATCATCACTTTTCAAATCTCCAAACTCAAACAATCAAAAATTTTTCTTTAAGATATAGCATTTAAAATGCTAATATCAGAATTAAATAGTGATCATAATATTGAATATATGTTAGACTCATTTTTATTATAGAAAACTTTATAAATCCATCTCAATATTTTATGCTTACCGTTTATACTCCGAATAATAACTCTAATTTGATATATCAACTGCTGATTCATTCTATTTTTCTATTTGATTTACTTAAGATCCTTCACTTTATTAAGATTAATGTATTATCAAATAACTTTGTAGACTCTTATTTTACTCTTCTAAAAGGCGATTGACACCATTTGGAAATCTCTTTTATTCAAGTAATTAAATTTCAGGAATGTTTTATTAATTATGCATTTATTATTCAATTTGTGATGAATGAATACTTTATAAACCACTGTTCTATTATTCTATTTCAGATTGATCCTATTTAGAATTTAAAATGAAGTCAATCAAATTTCTCAATCCAGTTAAATTTTCAATTACAATTTATTTTGTTATATTACTACCTTAAGTCATGTTTGTTATGAAATTATTTAAACAATCAAAACAAATTTTATCTTCCTATGTTTCTATTTATAATTTGAAGTAATTCTCTATTATTGGTTAAAATGATTCTCGTTATTATTTTATTGGACTCATTGTTACACTAAATGGTACTGAATACTCTTAAGCCTTTTATTACTTAATAGAAATCTTTTGATTTAAGAATTATGATCCAGTATTTAATCTTGAAAGAGCATTATAGTTGCTATAATTGTTATAATACATAATATATTATTATTTTAGTTTAATTTTTATAATTATTCATAGCTATTTAATAGTACTTTTATATATGATTAAGTTAATTATAATGGGATTATTTAAATGTATTTAATTGTATAAGTAAGTTATTCTACTTTTAATATGCAATCTATATTATAAATATATATAAAAATTAATATCATTTGATGAGTGCTCCAATTAAGATAGTTATGTTAGGGGAAGGTTAGATTAGATGAAATAATGATTAGGTAGAGTAGGGAAAACATGTCTGACTTTGAAATATTGTAAAGATTAATTCAATGAGAATCAGCAATCTTCTATAGATGCTACATTTTTTGAGAAGAGTGTAGATTTAGGTGGTGGCAAGAATATAACTTTGGCCATTTGGGTATTTGTGCGATTTTATCATAGGATACTGCAGGACAAGAAATATTTCATGCTTTGACTACTGTTTATTATAGAGATGCATATGGGGCAGTCTTAGTTTATGATGTAACATATAAGGAATCATTTTTTAAGGTAAAAGGTTTCTGTATGTTAATTTAGGTTGAGAAATGGGTTGAGGAATTAAGATCATTTGGAACTAAAGATATTTCTATTGTTGTTGCAGGTAATAAAAGTGACATGAAAAATCAGATGTAGATTGATAAAAATGAAGTTGAAGAATATTGCAAAAAGATTGGAGCTAAACATTTCTTTACTTCAGCTAAATCAGGCATTGGTATTAATGAAATGTTCAAGTCTTTAGCAGAGAGTAAAACTTAAATTCAATAATAGGTATCTCAATCAAAGTCTAAGCATAAGAAAGTAAAGGTAAGAAAAAGAAAGGTTTATAAATTAAAGATGTAAAAGACACTAAGAAATAAAATTAGAAAAATGAAGGATGTTGTTGAAATTTTATGAAATATTTATTAAATATTTTAATTTATATGCTATTTGCTTAATATTATTCATTTATTAAATTAATTTTTGTTCTAGTTGCGATTATAATAATTGTTAAAAATTTCATACAAATTGTAGATATGATCTTATTCTTAATTCACTTATTAATTTTATTTTTGATTTGTTTTTTTTATTTGATTTTAAAAATTGTCATTATTCTATAGGTACTTTTGATAATTACTAATTTTATTTATGTTAGAAAATAAATACTCAATTAAATGAATGACTTAAATTTTATTTTATCCTTATTGATTTTTCATAAAATTATTAAATAAATCTACATTATTTTGTGGGAGCTAATTATTACGAATAAATTCTTGATATTCCACAAATAGATAAAATTAATAATGTAAATTTATAAATTTTTACAAATAATCTTACCTTTAAAAACCTTTTGCCCAATCTTTAATATATGTGTTGGTATAATTTTTAGGGAATTAATCTTGTATATTAAAATGTTTTCCATTTGTATTTATGATCTCTACATTGTTAAATCTTAAATAATTTATAAACTCTATTAATTTTTCTTTTAAAGAAATTCCTTTATTCAATTAATTAGTAAGGTTACATTATTCATCAGAATTAGATTGGCTTAATGATTGGTTCTATTCTTTTCCTTAAATTAATTAATTTGATTAGCCAATATTGATGGTATTACTTTAATTAATCTTTTGATTATCTTGATTTTTCATTTAATTATTTTAGTTTTAAAAAAGATCTTATAATTTCATTTTAGTATTTTCTTAATATTATCTAAGATATTATAAATGAAATACATTGCTTTAGATTCAATTTCTTATTAATTAGGAGTCTTATAGTATTAAGTATTTCTTATTTAATCAACTTAAGAATCTACAGTTTAAATTGATGATATAATTTTTGATAAGACTCCTTCATTAAATTTGGGTACTAAATTAGTAGGTTATTATTTAAATTAATTCAAAATAAAATCTTAATTTTCATAAAATTATTTGTACTTTTTTAAATAATCTTTTATTTCTTTATTTTTATTTAAGTGATCATCTAAATTTATTTTTTTAATTACTTTTATAATTCTTTGTTTAATCATTATCATCAAATAATTTTTCAAGTATTTTATAAGCTTTCTGTCTTTCATCCTTTAAAAATTAGAACAATTAGGGTTGTTGTTTTTTGTAATACTACGTCTAATCGAAATGTATTGAACTCGATAAATTTAATTACAATATTAATTTATTATTGCTCAAGATAACCATGTCATGGCCAGGATCATCTCTAAAATACTCAAGGATAGCATTTCTTTAATATATTAAATTTATTATGTTTTGTAAGTCTTCATAAATATAATATTGAATTTATGCTTATTCTTATTTTTCTGATTATCGGTAATTTTAAGTTTAACACTATTGATATTATTTGTCAAAAGTACTAGAATTAGGTTATTAATATTTTGAACCCATTTAATTATTTGATTTGATTTGATATTGATTCGCTTTAAATTATGTGCTCAATAGAATAAAATTATATACTATTATGTTTTAATTTCAATAATATTAATTATTTTTATAAAAGTATATTAATTAGACTTATTAGCTTATATAAATTTTAGTATTATAGATCAATTAAATCTAACAATACTTTATAGGATATAATAATTAACAACTTGATATTTTTACTTTCGATATCAAATTCAAAAATTATTCATACTAATTTCAGCTAAAACAATCAATTAACATCTCTGTCAATGCAATTTCTTTATAAGTTGCCTATAGTATTTATCCTGATAAGCTTATAATTGGTCTCAGTACTAATGATTCAATCTATTTGATTTAGTACAACTATGATAAAAATAGTATCATTAGTTCAAATTATACTTTTGTATAATAATTCTCCGATTTTATAGTAACATATAATAGTATAATAATTCTAATTTCAATATAAGAAATTCAAATATTAACATTTAATTATACAGTTACATATACTTTAAATTAATAGTCAATAAATAAATTATTTAATAACATTACATTCAATCCAATATAAATAGTTGTGAATACATAATCAGTATCATCTTTTGTATATATCAACAATATAAATGAAATAATAATAATATCAATAGATTAAAATAGTTATCCAATACCAATATCCTTGATTTAAGTCAATTTTACAATAAAATAGATAAATTTAGTAAACTAATAATTGATATTATCATATATATGTAATAATCAAAACAATATTTGCTTCTAAGTTTGGAATGTGTAAAATTTACCAAAATATTATTATGTAAAGAATCTATATAATGTCAATTTTGATAATAATATAATAATATAATCAGATAACTTATTCTTTTATGTTACTTTTAGCAATTATACTGTTTATGTTTATAATCCTTCATTACCATATCATATGAGTTTATATTATAAATTAGAATTAACATCACCTATTTAATGTACTGAGTAATTTTATTTAAACAATCCATTATCAGTAATAATTGCTAACAATTATTTATATACTCTTTCGGAATTATAATAGTTTAATCTAACTGTTTAATAATCCAATTATGTATTTAACAATTCAATAAGTTATCCTTAATTAACCTATAATTATACTGTAACTTCAGCATTAAATAACAATACTTTTTAACAAACTCCTAATTAAAGTATTATTTTTTATTTAAACTTCACATAATTTTAGGATTTAAGAAATTTATCAATTGAACTAAGTAAAGATAATATAATCCCTTATTCTAAAAATTTTTCATATCCAATGAATTTAATTCTTGATAGATAAGTCGGATATTGTTATCTAAATTAATCCATAACTTAAAATAAATATTGTAGTTTAACTTAATTTTTACAGTATTATTATCCCATTTCTAATATTCAGAATTACTCATTAATTACTTCAATAAATAACGAATATTTTGCTCTACAGAGTAATTCATTCATTTAAACTTTAAGTAGTGATTTAAGATATCTATTTTATTTTAATTATACGAATCTTACATTTAGTTAATGTTTACAATCTACCTCATATATTTACTAATTATATTCAATTTGTTAAAATAGTACTTCATAATACTTACTTAACTTTACATTAAATTCTTCAGGAAATATTGTAAATCTAAATACAACTTAACTTCCTTAAACTTTTTCAAATATTTCCAAAATGAGCAGCATTTTAAACTAAATTTTTATCTTAGGTAATTAGAAAGAATAATTATAATAATTGTATTGGTTTAATTAATCTAACAGGACCTTATAAGTAATAATAAATTATTGTCAAGATTTCTCTATTGCATAAATACCTAAAGTTGAAGATAATTAATAAGAATCAATAATTATTTTCTTTATTTATTATTAGTAATTAGAATATAAAATTATATCAATTGTTGATGATATACACATATTTCATCAAGCTGTTATTCTTTAGATAAATATTATTGACTCATCATATTATCTTTAATAGTATTATTATTTTTAGATTCTAATTTTATAAATCTATTCTAAAAAAGCAATTGTACTTGTGAGTGATAAATATTTAAGCTACATCATTTATCTTAGAATTCAATCTTTAAGTTAAAAACTTTAGATTGGCACAATTTTTGGAACAATTCCAAATTATGGTAATTTAACTATTGCTGCTAATTCATTTTATTAGAATGGAGTTTTGATGTAACAATTTAATGATCAAGGTTAATTTATCGTTGGAGTTTATTATTTAAATAATCTTTTTGATCAAAATTTAATGGAACCCATTTTGATGTAAAGTTCATTTAATACTACAAACAGGAATTATGCAATGATTGTAAATTAATAATATCAAATTGGAACATCCCTTTATATTTCTAAAGAATCGATATAAAATTACCCAATAAGTAATTGGAATTTAAATTGTATTTCTTTTACTAATAATTAATCGATGAACATTCAATTATTCTGTTAGAACCAATTTTCAAATGGTATTTATGATATTACATTTCATCTTCCTCCAAAATTTCATTTTTATTTCAGTTCATCAGCATATGCTCTGTTTTCTATAATTATTTTACTGATAATATTTTTTTACATCAGATTTATATACAAGACAAGAAATTTAGGGTATATTAATGCAGAAATTGAATTATGATAATATAAATTTGCATATTCATTAAAAACCATAATCATTAATTAATTGTTCCAGGTCTTATGGTAAAGATTGTTTAAGAATGATCTTATCTCTTACCTAATGCATACAAGCTCATAATTTGCTTATCAAAATATTCAAAAAAAGAAATAATTTTTGAGATAATTCTTATTTTGCTCCTTTATATGTGAATTGTATAGGTAAACTAAAAATGTCAAAAAATATTTCAAATTTTGAATAATCAAAAATGCTTATGTGTTGAATTATTATAGATGGATGAATAAAAGAATAATCAATACATAAAGTATAAATGATATAAGCAATTATTATTAATTAATAAGTATAAAATAAATTTATTATATTTAACATAATATTAAAGATTATATTATTAATATAATATGGGGGATTCATTAGAGTCTCCATCTTAAAAGCATATAAAATAAGGAAAAGGACCCAAGAATTCAGTTCATTTTTAGGATATCAGTTAAATAAACAAGAAGGATCGAAGTAAAATAATGTAAAATGAGACTGACAAATTTAAGTACTTATTCTAAATTCCAAATATCATTTCTGATCCTAAGTTAGTATAGAGAAGAAAGACATTTGAGACGTTTACAAAAAATGCTAACTTAGATTTATATTATATGCACTTGAAGAAGGCATCAGGAATAGCAAGGAGTATATCATAAAAGGCTGACTATAAAGAAGTGATAGCAAAAATACACAATAATAAGATGTAAGATTAGTTTGTACATAAATTACACAAGAACAAAGGATTAATATTAACAAATGAGTTATGGTCAAATAAATTATTAAGTTAAGTATCTGATCAATCTAGACTGAAAGAGTTATCATAAATGTTATAACTCTAGAAGATTAAATTAAATTCAGAAGAATAATTATAGAACTATGAGTAATACTTTAAGCAGTTTGTTAAATCTAAATGCTAAAATGAAATGGAAATAAAAAGAGGAGAGGTGTCTAAAGCATTTAATGATCTAGATGATTAAGTTACATTAGATTAGACTTACAAGGATAGTCGTGTATTATCTACAAATCAAAGTGTTCCAATGAAATAGACAGATCAAAGTTTTTTTTCTAGGGAAATAATGACAGCATAGATGAGTAAGAAGAGAGTTGTAAATTCTTAACATAGTACAATCAAATTAGCTGAATTACTTAAATAATCAAATGATGAAGTGCATTCAACTTAGGAGGTTGTAATAAAATTGAGGAGATTTACAAAGGAGGAAGCAGATTTATAAGATAAGCCTAAGAAGATTAGAATAAGGAGATTGTTTGCTGAGCAACTCAATAATGTAATAAAGAATTCAAAGAAAATAAATTGATTTTATAGTTCATATTATGATAATAATTTAGTGTATACTATTCATAGATAGAGTGAATAGAATTGATAAATGTTTAAATATATGCATCATGAATAAAAGTCTATAATAATTCCTAAGAACCAAACAAATTACAATCCATAATATACTAGCCAGAGACTATCTTTATGATTGTTTAAATTTTGAAATTTGTCATAAATACACAAATGCAATATAGCCAAGGGGACAAAGGTTAGCCAAGCAAGTATAGCTGAAAATACACTGCTTTAAATAGTTGACATACTTAGTAAACCTAAAAAAAGATTTATATATGATTAACAAACCTGCAATTCCAAAGAGGAATACTCTTCTATTGACATATTCTTTTTATTCTGGACCTTTGAAGAATGCATTAATAAGGAGAGTAACATAATGGAATAGGAATAAGATCAAGATGGCCACTGCAACTGCCATTCTTTTAGGAATAAATTCAGTCGTCTCTGTGCTCATTAATAATAATAATCATTCAAGTTTTTAAAGAGGTCTTAAATTATTCCAGGGATGTGATTATTCCAGATTTTATAAAACTGATTTTTATCAATGAGTTTCAGTCTATTAATTGGATGCATAACAATTTGATCTACTTCATTCTCAATTTATGATATCATCATACGTTTCCCTTTAGAAGTTCTTTTGTTGTTTATTACAATGGTTCTAAGTTTAGGTAGTCCAGATGATTCACTCTTATCTATTTATGACTTAAGTAGACTGGCTCTAAGTTTAATCATAGTTAAAATGTCATTTTCTATAATTGATGTATTTTTTTCTACTGAAAGTATGGAGAGCAAGTTTGTACTTGTAATTACACCTTATCCTTATAAATCATACATCTAAAAGCATAAATTTAAGTATTGTTATCTATCCAATTGTTACAAGTAAGTTACAAGTTATTCATACATCTACAGTGTCAATGTATCTGGCACCTTTAAAACTTTATTTATTTGTTCAACAATAATCTGACTGTAAAATTCTCTTAGATATCTTAATAGTTATCCTCGTTGCATTCGATGTCCAACACGATCAAGATTGATGATGCGATTGAAAGTATTAACAACAACTACTCTCTAATTTATGATCTTTAATCTTTGTGAATGGAAATCTTCTATTGTAGAATCTTTGGGTCTCATTACTACATCAATAGTTTCTGATCTATTTTATTGTCTCTCGATATTTTGCTTAGTTCTTTCCATTGATTTAGATATTCTATCAGAACTCTAGGGAGACTTCTTTTTGATGTTTTAAGGATGGACACGAGAGTACTGCTGTATAAGAGTGGCTTGAAACACTTAAATTTATATCAATACCATAGAGATTATGGCGAAATGCATTACTTGTTATATACTCAATTTAATTCATTAATCCTATCAAGTACTTTCTGCTTCTAATTTAAACATAATAATTTATAATCTTTTATGCATTTGAATTCTCTTCCAAAGCTACAGTAATTCATCTTAAAGATTATCTTATAATAGGAACATTTTAACTAATTAATTTCAATATGCATAATCTCTCTTATTTTTTCTATAGTTTAATACACTTTCCCACATTCTTAAATTGAAATTTTTAATGTTAGAAACAATTCAGAAATTTATTCCAACCATATATTGTCTTTTTTATTTATTAAATAAGATAACTAAACTAGTTTATGTTACTTCTAATTTTTCAATATAATTTTATATTTATTTATTTACTTGCATAATTATTATCATTTCTATATAATCTACATATATATTCATCATTAATAATTATATTTTTATACATCATTTATAATATAAAACAACATAACTTTCTTTAATTTTTATTCAAATATAATGGAGGGAAGAGAATTCTTTTACTTTATATTTATAAGGTTTGGCTCATAATTATATCAAATAAGAGTTATAAAAATATAAATTCTAAAGAATATTTCCTCTCAATTACTTCAATTTAAGAAATTCAGAACAAATTCAAAAAAGTTATTTAACTTGAATTCTCGTAAAATTTTCATTCTATTCTTCTCAATATTTAAAAATTGAATGATTGATATATGTTTAATTCAAATTAGAATAATGAATGTCAAATATTGATCAAAGATTACCAAAATGACAATATTCATATATAACTAAATCAATTAAAAAAATCCTTTGGGATTCTTCCTATCCCTACACTAATTTAACTAGATATTGGTGATGGCATTCTTGTTCCAGTATCCATAAGTAATAATTCAAGCAGATTATTTTATTTGATCTTCTAAAATTATACACACTTGTTTTTGACAAGCACTTATGATTGTTATGTGTATTGGGAAGTATTTCGTTTTCTTTATGATGTAGCACGAAAAGAATTTAGTCGATTTTGAATTTAAATTTAATTCATAATAAATATCAAAGTTGATCACGAACTTTTAGGTATGCTTGTAAATCAAAATCTGGATCATCAAATTATTCTTAAAATTATTATTATTTTAATTATTACCTTCTTCTTGTAAATCCTCTTATTATTCATCACTACTTGTAGGATCAGATCCTTATTCTTCTTCTGGTTAGTAGTCTTGATCATGATCATCATCATTTAATTCTTGTGGTTATTAAAAAAATTATTGAGTTTGTAACTATAATGATGGTTATTCTATTAATGTTTTCTATACAATCATTTATTATTGATTTATCAAATTAGTTCCTTAAATCCAAAATTAGTTTTATGAATTCTAATATTAAACATGATTAATAGTATTTGGTGGCACTGTATAAACCTATTAATTATGTGAAGGTGTATAGAATAATGGATTCTAAAATTAAGATGTAGATTAAGCCTGAGAACTATCGTTTTCAAATTCCATAAGCGCGAAATTTTATAAATATTTTAATGATTATTTTAAATAATTCATTAATTAATTTAGACACCAAAATATTTATAATATTTAAGATTAAATAGAATTATATTAATACTATTTATTCATAGAATTTAGATTTAAAAAAAATAGATAATTAAGATATTAATATATATAAAAATCAATATTATTTATCAGCATACAATCTTGGATCATAAAAAGAAATATCTATTTCTCTTCCATCATACTTTTTATTTTATAATAAAATAATAGCAATTTTAGCAAATTATTCATTTTCAAATTCAACAAATACTTTTCCTATTCCTTCAGAATAACCATCCTTCTTTCTTGGAACAACCATACTAATTAATCTACCAATTTTTTCAATTTCTTTTTTTAAATCTTTAACAATAAAATTATATTCATAATCATCTTCAATATTTTTTATTCTAACTGCATTATTAATTACAACAACACTACTTACTTTCATTTAATTAATTTATTATAATTTAGATTCAAATGCTTATTATTCTCCCAATGTTATAGTATCAATAATATAATCTTATGTTGGAGTAGGCAATTATGCATTCTTCTTAACTTATAATAATCTACCTCCAATAACTTTATTATTTAATCCATTAACACAATTTTATGTTTCTAAATCAGTTTCAAATTCACAAAATGCAAAACCTTTACATACATTTTTTATATCTCTAACAACATTTAATGATTTCAAACTACCATATTCACTTAGAATATTAGCCAAAGCATCATTATCAGTATCAGGTGCTAATCCACAAACAAATAATTTTTAAGCAGGTTCTTTTGGTTAAATCTTTGGCACTTCTCTTTCACCTTCAATACGTGGACTAATTTCATAATCTTTAACTCTCTTGAATTTAAGTTACTTCCCTTAATAATTACTTGTATCTATTTATAATGCAGCCTCTGTCTCTTCTATACTTCTGAATTATACAAAACAATATTTCTAACCCGGTTACAATTATACTTGTATAACTGGATCTCCAGGATCAATTACAGCTCCATGAGATTCCATTTATTGTCTAATATAATTATGAAGATGATCCTTATCTACATTATCTGGCAGATTCCCCAAATAGAGTCGACTATTTTAATCCAATTACATACACTGCATGAGGATAATTTTTATGTAGATGTTAAGGTACTTTATATGCTCCACTCTCACTCTTCTTGAAAGATGATAATTATGGCAAAGTTGTTGGTTAAGGTGGTTAAGGTGGTGGTTCAGGTGGCTTCACTTTTTTCAATATTGGGATTTCCTACTTTTCTGGTCTAGGTCGATTTCTTTAATTATATTCATAAGACTCTTTACTTGTATTTCTTAGATATCTCTAATAGTTATTCCAAATCACTACTATCAGAATCATCAACCTTCTTTTTTAATTTCTTTTTATCCATTATTAATATATATATATATACTTTAAGTTAAAATATTTACATCATCCTTTAAAAACTGTATATTTATAATCTGACATATTACTTATTTTTAAAAGATTATCATTTATAATTATATTATTTCATGTATGTCTCAAATAAATTAGAACTTAATCGATTCACCTTAGATGCCAACCTTCATGATGGAGACATACTCTCTAAAGTCAATTAAATAAATAGCATCATTCTAGCCAGAAACCCTATAGAAAAGTATAATCTCTAATCTATTCAACCAAAGACTTCAAGATTAAAAACTATTTTCTGATCCAACCAGTCTTGGTAGATACAAGAATTATCGTGGAGCATCATCAAAAATTGCTAATTATATCAAAAATCTTGATCCCATAGTAAGAGCAGCCTTTGTAGTAGAAAAGTCTCCTCCTTCTAATCGATTTAACACTTATCGTAATCCTAAAGCACAAGAAAATCTTAAATAGATGATTGATAAATTGAACAATTTCCAAAAAGATGATACTGGCATAAAATACTTCTATTAACATCGACGCAGTTGCAGTCCAAGATTAAAGTTACCTGCAGTCTCAAAACATTACAGAAACCCTCCTAAATTTCAATATGAATCCAGAACTATCGATGTAAATAGTACAATGTCTCGTTCTGTATATTACCATTGAATTCATTATTTATTACGATTATACTCAATCCCATCACTCTAAATTTAATTTTCATTAATTTTAAATAAAATAACAAAATGTTCTAATTAACTCTCAGTCTTACTGCAGTTAAGAGTTCTAATATTATTCTATTAGTAGAATTTATTATTCATCTAATCACATTAGTTTTCAATTGTAATAATGATTAGATAAATATAAATAAATCGTTAATTTAATTAATTACATATAGACAATTAATTCATTTATATAATTTTATAGAATTATATAATCAAAGAGATATCATAAATAAGATTATTATAATAATGTTGAATAAATAAATAATTAGAGATAATCTAAAATAATATTAATATGTAGAAAATAAGGAAAACTAGGATTATTCAAATTGAATTTTATATAAAAAATTAATTCTATCAAATTAAAATCTTAAATGTTTAGATTGAAATCAAGATATCATATTTAATTTGACAAATAAATAATTAATCTTGATTTATTATAATATAAATACAAATTAATATTTTTTAGAATATAACATGTTATAATACATTAATTTAGATATACAATAGATTAAAATTAGAGAATAGTATGTATTTTATTTAGAATATTTTAAGAATTAAAAATATAATTCTTATATTTTTTAATCTCTTATTTTTGTTCTATATTAATGATTTTGAATTTATAAAATATAGTTAATATTTATTTGTGTTTAGATATATATAATATAAAAAATGAAATTAATAATAATTTTATACTAGATATATATTGATTAAATATCTAATGGGTTCTTAAGAGAGTAAATAGGAAGGATAAATATAGGACTCAAGATATGGGAAAGCTACATTGATTAGAAAATATGATTAGATTTGTGCAATTAGGAAAGTAATAATTTAGGATGAAAGTCAACATGATGGATTTACTAAGAGATCAAAGATTGAGCATTCAAATTTAGTGAAAATATTGGAGAGTGGAATATAGAAGGAATAAGAATTATGCACTTCTTATCATATTATGTATATTATAAGCGAATATTACTCTACTTCATTTCATAAAGAAATTGTAAATAGAAAAGGTAGAGGAGCATTTTGGACAGAATAAGAATTATGGAATTAATTGTTTGGACTTGTTGATGTATTTTATAATTTAAAAATAATGAAGTTGTTGATGAAAATGCAAGAAACTCATTTGGTTCATTAGAACATTAGACCTTTGACTATTAGTTATGTGAATGAAAATACTTTAAAACTTTGTGACAATTATTTTTAATAGAGTGCATTTCAAATGGCTTAATAGAATCCAGAGAATTAGAAATTATTTGAATTATCACCAAAATTATTAGAAGCAATCAATTAGAATAATTAATTCCCAAGACATAATTTATATAAAAGTGATGTATGGAGTGTGGGAATGTGTATTTTATAAGCAAGTTTATTAGATCACTGTAGAGATTGTTATGAGTAAGTTAAAGATTAATTTAATTAGTTTTGAAAGAGGACATGTTAATGTATCAAGAAAATTAGCATTATTGAAGAAGAATTATTCAATTAAATATGAATAGGTAATAGTATCTATGTTATAAATGGATGAAGTATCTAGACCAGATTTTAAATAATTGATGAATATAATGAAAGGTATTCCAGATTCAGATACATCTAAATCTTTAGAAGATTCTGTTGTGATTAATAGTTCTGTTATTTGTTTAGATTCTAAATCTCCAATGAATTTAAAGGAAGACATTTAACCAGAACCATTAAATCAATTGAAAGAACAAATTGAAAGCAAACCTAGTAAAATTATGGTTGAATTAGAGTAATTAAGATTCAAACCAAAAGTTATAATAAAGAAGATTAAAAAGAAGGAATTAGGATATTATCAATATTAAGAATAAATGATTATAAAAGATCCTAGTTAATCAGCTATTTAATAATAATAAAAATTAAATAGTTATGCTTCAGTTGATTGTTCATTTAATAAATAATTGGTAAATTCTTCACTATAATTTACTAATCCTACTTCATAAAATAAATAATTTACTGATAAAGAGAAAATAGAATAATTAATTGGTAGTGGATTGTAATCATATTCTGTTGGTCCATTTATAATACCAACTCAATCTATTAAACCTTAGACATAGTTAAAACAATCATAAAAGCCAATTAACCCAGAAACAAATAAAAATACATAATAATTAAATCCTCATGTAATTACTATTGATACAAATTCATCATATAATAGTATTCCATTGAGTTATACTGAAATACCAATTAGTTATGTTGTTAAAAAAGATATAAATTATAGATAAGAAATGGAATAAATGATTGAGATGAATAAATCAAGAATTTTCAAAACTGAATAATATTAAGATGGATCATCATATGTTGGTGAAACATATAATTAATTAAAAGATGGATTTGGAAGATATCAATTTGCAGAAGGTGGTTATTATGAAGGATAATGGAAATAGAATAAAATGCATGGTTATGGAACTCTATTTTATGGAGTTAATTAAAAAGCATTTGAAGGATAATTTGAAAAAGATAAATTCTCTGGATTTGGAACATTGTATAATAAAGATCCAACTAAATTGAATGCTCCTTTTGATTGCTCAAATTTTGATCTCATTGAAAAGTAAGAAATCAATATATAATTAGTTATTGGGTTAAGTATGTTGGTAATTTTAAGAATGATCTTAAAGATGGTTAAGGAGCCTTATATTTATCAAATGATGAATGTTATAAAGGAGAATTTTATTAAGATTATGTTGATGGTCATGGTACTTTTGGATCAATTGTTGGAGTTTGGCGTAAAAATAAATTGATTAAATGATATAACATAGTTTTGTTTTCAAATTTATTCTTCTTCCTCTTCCTTCAATTTTACTAATTCTTACTATTCTAATTACCTTTTCTTTACATTACTCTTTGCTCTTTAATTCAAAATACAATAAAATATTAGTAACACTAAAATCAATGGAATTACAATATGTTTTAAATAAGGATTATTCTATTATGTCTACTTAAACTAATCTTAACAATTGTATTTAGTGATGAATAATTTCTAATTGTTTTAATCTATAGTAATCAATTATTAAGTTAAAAATGGTAATCCCAATTTTATACGATTAATTTTAGATCTATAAAATGTAACAATCTCTCTTCCATCTACAAGTCTATATGAATATGTATCCTTTTCCAATCTAATCTTCTCATTTTATTCAAATATCATCTCAATAGTTGGTAATTCTTTTGATTTATCTTTCACAATCAGATATCTCCCTTCCTCTTGTACACCATACTCTTGCAAATAATCTCGAATCATTATATATTAATTTTCCGGTAATAAAATAAATGGTTCTTTACTATCAACATATGTTACATTTCCACTTGTATCTATTATCATCTCATCATTTATTTTGATCATTCTTAAATCTACTTGATAATTGGATTCATTTGCCTTATAATGTAATTGACTTAAATTAGGATTCTTAAATTCTCTAGAAATGAATCCTTTAGTATAACCAAAACAAATGTGAAATATATTTGAAATGAATGGATTCTAAGGATACTTAGCTTTCATATTTATATATACACATACATCCCCTCTATAATCCTAATCCCAAAATTTCAGATTCATTTGTATTAATGTATATTATTGGTTCTGATTCTTCTTAATTAAAAATATCCATTAAAGTGATTTCTGATGATATCAATTATGTATCTTATACAATACAATCAGGAGAGCAATATTAACATTTTATTTATTCCCCAAAAGGAGCTGAATTACATTTAATTTTATTTCCTACTTTACTTAAATAACTCATTTCAGAATTCAAATCAACTGTCAAAGAACCTGATTCATATTCTAATTAAAAATTTTGAGTTGTCTATATTTGAAATATGGGATAAATGTGAGATGCTAAAGTACTTGTTATAAAAAACAATATAATCATTTATTATTATAATAAAATTGATTTATGAAAAAAAAACATAATTCCATCTCCCATTTTTATTATAAAATATCTACATTATTTCAAATAATTAAATAAATAATTACTTGATATGATTGAACAAAATTACCTTTGTGCTGGAAATCATTAAGGTGCATAAATAATAATGGTTTCTTTTGATCCAACATTAAAAAGAAATTAAAGATTGCTTTGTCAAAAATGTCTAGATGATCTTCAATTACCAACTAAAGTTGAGGGATTCTAGAAAACTCTTGACTCTATTCAAGATATGTATCTAAATAGAGTCAATTAATAGCAATTCTTAATAGACAAGATGTTAACATTTATTGAACCCTTATTAATAGAATTCTAATCTATAAGAGATAACGTTTTGAAAATTTTGGATGCCCTTATTAAAGTAGTTACTGATTGGAAAATGTAATTTTAATAAATTTCTAAGACCAAAATAGTTTATAGTTTCTTAGATGAATTAGAATCATTAGTATATAGATAATAGCATTATAAATAATAAGAGATATTAGAGCGAATAAATAAAATGAATTGAGCTTATACAAAAACTATTATAAATCAATTACTCATATTAAAAGATGATCCATTTAAAGAGATACAATTAAAATTGTAAGACTGTGAAAAAATGATAAATAATCAATTTCAAAATTATGATAATCAAACTAGAACTAATACAAATAATAACATTTCTATAAAATTGAAGAAGATTAGTAAGGTAGAGTCAGCAAAAGGAATATCACACATTATTTTTGATTAGACTGGATAGATGATGATTTCAACTTATTAAGGTAAAGTTGGAGTGTGGAATTTTAATTAAGGTAATTTATAATTTCAAACTTCATTCATTGCTCATAATTCAGAAATTAAGTGTGCTATTCTACTATCCAATTAAAATTATTACATTATCACAGCAGTAGATAAAACAATTAAAATTTTCTAAAGAAATAATGAAATTTATTGGAATTGTATTTATGAATTTAAAAAACTAAAAAATTCTTTTGGTTGTATGATTATTAATGGAAATGGAAACAATTTGTTTACAAGTAGTGAAAATATTATAAGTGTTTGGAGACTTAATTTTTAATAAAACTAAATGTTAACTTGTTAATAATTATTAGAATAACATAAATGGGCAATAAATGCTATAAGTTTAAATAAATCTGAAAATAAATTAGTATCATGTAGTAAAGATAAAAAAATTATTGTCTGGGGTTTAAATGAAAATAATCAATGGGAATACAAACATGATGTTAGATAATCAATTTTAGAATGTGGAAATGCTTTATATTTTCTTAAAGATTCTTAATTTATATGGGTATCAGGGGAAATGTATGGTTTAGATTGTATTTATGTATATGAAGAATGGGGTGAGTAATTTGAAGAGGTTTTAGGTAAGACTATTAATTTACCTAAACATCAAAATGAGGTCTCTATATCTCCAGTAGTTTATATAGATCAATAGAAGTAGATAATCTTAATTTCATAGAAGAATAGTATCTATTTATTAAGAGAAAAAAGTGATGGAAATCTTTGTATAGAAACTCAAATTCTTAGAGCCATATAGAGTCATTAATAATCATAAAGTTTAACTTAAGATGGAAAATACTTAGTTTATAGTTATTATAATAATAAAGATGATCGAAATTATTTTTCAGTTAATGAGATCATATAAACTTCTTATTGAATTAATATAAAGCATGATTTTAATAATCAGAATATTTCATATTCAAGGATTTTATAGATTGGCATTTGTTAGTTAATTTGTTTTAGAATCTCCACCATTTAACATATGAGTTAAAATTTCTTTTGTGTACTAAAAAATAATAATAAAATTCTAAAATTACCTTAAGTCTCTTAGACATTTCTTTATTTTAACTATCAAGAGCAGTTGCCAAAGGATAATGACTTCTTTCACCAGTTTTATTCACATAAGTGACCATCTTATATTCTGAAGATAATATGATTTCTGTCTTATCTGTAAAATTAACCTATTTATTATTAATATTAAATTTATTACTTAAACAATTTTATTGGATAATCTAAACATAATAGCATGTCTAGTTTTCATCCATTTCTTAACATAAACTAATTATTTCTTTTCATTCTCTTCACTTTAAACAGTTTGAAATTCTCCTTCTAAATAACTTCTGAAATGCTGAAGAAATGTAACTTTCTAATTTAAATGTTATGGATAATCATTAAGATTATAGGTTTCACATATATCTTGTTTATCCTATCCTTTTCTTTCCATATATTCAAATTATAAGGTCTTTGTGTCAAGAACAATTTTAGTTGAATCATTGAAGAAAACTCCAGTAACACCATTACTTAATAAATAACCTAATCCTTATCTACTTGAGTAATCAACCCATTTCTTAACATGTATTTCCTACTTTGCTTATTGTTATTTCACTTCCAGATTATTTACAGATTATGCTCCTTACATTCCTGTTCCACCAAAAGGTTAAGAAAAAGTTTTCTAACTTTAACTATTTCTAAATTCATTTGGCTATTGAGATTATGGCCTTTGAGTTCCACCATAACCAACATTCTATGCATTGTTTAGACAATTGGAACCAAAATTATCATCCATATTGTTTCCACTTTAACTTGGCTTCTGTACTTATATCATTTAATTGATAAGTTACAGGGGAAACGATCGGAAGATCCATTGGTTTAGGTATTCTTTGGATTATTGGGCGTAGTTTCAATAAATCTCTATGGTAACGCATTTGTAGACATCTTTAAGTTACTACTACTGGTAGATGGTTAAAATTATTTATTATAAGATGCTGATGGAGGACAAGCTAATGTTGATAAAGGCAATGTTTTAGGGATTGTTCCCCCTGTATTCATAAATGGATGAGCCATAATCTCATTTAATGTAGGTCTTTATGTTGGGTCTAAGTTTAGAATCCTAGAAATTAGACTTTTTGCTGAATCTGATATCAGTACATGTTCTGGGAAAGAATACAAATTCTATCTAATCTTTTTATAAGTAGTTTTGACATCTGGAGTTTCAAAGGGAGGTTTGCCAATCAACATAGCATACATTATGACTCCCAATGACCAAACATCTACTTCAAAGGAATGACCCACTTTTCCATCTAAAACTTCAGGAGCTATGTAATTTGGAGTTCCACAAATTGTCCTTTTCTTTTCTCCTTCAAATTCTAATTTTGTGGCTAATCCAAAATCTCCCAACTTTAATTCCATTGATTTATTCAAAAATAAGTTACCCAATTTAAGACTTAGATTATTATTACATTTTCTTACTCTCTATGAATTACTTTCTATACATGAAGATATTTTAATGCATTTACTATCTAACCCACATAGCATTATACTTCAATTTCAGTCAATCTCTTTCTTCTCTTTAGTAAATCATTCAATGTCTATATTTAAATTTCAATAATTACTTAATTTGAACACAATTCTAATAAAATGTACACATTCTCATGATCCTCAAACACATGTTCAAATTGTACAATGTTTGTGTTCTACAAACTCTTATGTATTTTTATTTCTGAAATTAGCTACATCAATTAACAGTATTTACTTTTTAACGAGTTCTACTTTTTGTTAAACTACTCTTAACAATAATCTTAGCAGCAAGAACTCTCTTTGTTTCTAGGTTTGTAGCCTCATAACACTTTGCAAATCCTCCCTTTCCCAAAAACTTCCCTCTTAGATACTTCTTAATTGCCGCCTATCCATTTACTGTTGTGATTTTCTCTTCAAATATCACTAATTACTCAACCCTAAATTTCATTCTGACCTTTACCCTTCTTGATTTGTTTTTTCGTCCATTTATATTAAACTATTTAAATTATTATTATTAGATTTTTTTATATATTATACCATCACCCTATTTTAATAATTTTATATATAATTATACTTATAATCAAAAATCTTTATAGATTCAATAGCATTACTATAAATTCAGATTATTATATTCATTTCTACTCTAAATTTAAGAATATCCAAAATATTAAAAAATACATCAATTTGATATTATTATATCTTAAAATCACTGAGTAATTAGAGTCAAAGGATATTTATTTAATTTTAAAAATTTAACTAATTACATCAACAGTAGAATAATACTCAATATACTAATCTCCAATGTTTATGATTTAACTCAATTTTTCAAAATCAAATAACAAGGCTAGATTTTTTAATTTTATTGGAACTTAACATAATTAAGATTCTAAATTAGTATANGATATCAGTACATGTTCTGGGAAAGAATACAAATTCTATCTAATCTTTTTATAAGTAGTTTTGACATCTGGAGTTTCAAAGGGAGGTTTGCCAATCAACATAGCATACATTATGACTCCCAATGACCAAACATCTACTTCAAAGGAATGACCCACTTTTCCATCTAAAACTTCAGGAGCTATGTAATTTGGAGTTCCACAAATTGTCCTTTTCTTTTCTCCTTCAAATTCTAATTTTGTGGCTAATCCAAAATCTCCCAACTTTAATTCCATTGATTTATTCAAAAATAAGTTACCCAATTTAAGACTTAGATTATTATTACATTTTCTTACTCTCTATGAATTACTTTCTATACATGAAGATATTTTAATGCATTTACTATCTAACCCACATAGCATTATACTTCAATTTCAGTCAATCTCTTTCTTCTCTTTAGTAAATCATTCAATGTCTATATTTAAATTTCAATAATTACTTAATTTGAACACAATTCTAATAAAATGTACACATTCTCATGATCCTCAAACACATGTTCAAATTGTACAATGTTTGTGTTCTACAAACTCTTATGTATTTTTATTTCTGAAATTAGCTACATCAATTAACAGTATTTACTTTTTAACGAGTTCTACTTTTTGTTAAACTACTCTTAACAATAATCTTAGCAGCAAGAACTCTCTTTGTTTCTAGGTTTGTAGCCTCATAACACTTTGCAAATCCTCCCTTTCCCAAAAACTTCCCTCTTAGATACTTCTTAATTGCCGCCTATCCATTTACTGTTGTGATTTTCTCTTCAAATATCACTAATTACTCAACCCTAAATTTCATTCTGACCTTTACCCTTCTTGATTTGTTTTTTCGTCCATTTATATTAAACTATTTAAATTATTATTATTAGATTTTTTTATATATTATACCATCACCCTATTTTAATAATTTTATATATAATTATACTTATAATCAAAAATCTTTATAGATTCAATAGCATTACTATAAATTCAGATTATTATATTCATTTCTACTCTAAATTTAAGAATATCCAAAATATTAAAAAATACATCAATTTGATATTATTATATCTTAAAATCACTGAGTAATTAGAGTCAAAGGATATTTATTTAATTTTAAAAATTTAACTAATTACATCAACAGTAGAATAATACTCAATATACTAATCTCCAATGTTTATGATTTAACTCAATTTTTCAAAATCAAATAACAAGGCTAGATTTTTTAATTTTATTGGAACTTAACATAATTAAGATTCTAAATTAGTATATGTATTTTATGTTATTATTTTTTAATAAATTTGTTTGCAATATTATTTACTATTGAACTGATAGAAATCTATAATATCTATAGTTTAAGCATTAAGGCATATATTAAATAAAACATTATTAATTTAATTATTAGAACGTATGCAATAACAAGTTCTTAGTTCTCAATTAAAAAAGATTCTTATATAAAGAATGATTCATTATAATATACTATTAGAATGTTATTAAATTTAATAGTTAATTATTATTTAATTTCGTCATATAGTTTCTTATTGGTTCAATACCTAAAAAAAACAAGACCATAAATTATATATTTATTAGATGTGTTGTTTTAAACTAAATAATTTGTACTAAAATTAGAATAGTATAAGATTTTTGAAAATATGAATAAATATTGAATAAATATGATGAATCATTTAGAATTTCCATCCAAACTATGTTCATAACAATTTTGTAATGCTTACAAAAATATTCCACATATAGCACAAAATTCAGCAACAGGGTAATTAAAAGTAAAGTCAATTTTTCCATACTAAAAAAAGAATATATCTAATTTACTACCACATCATCTGATGTCTAACCAAAACCCATTCCCACGGTTATGAGTGTTTATCCAAATACAAGACAGCATAATTAACCCCAAAATACACCTGTGTGCTCTTTACATGTTCTAAACAATCCAAGTAAAAAGGAAAGTATAAATAATGATGCCCCACCTATAGTTAAGGCTAGATAGGTAGAATAGTCATCAAATTTAAAGTTTTCACTATTTTCATTGATTTATTGAACTTAATAACAATATTGAGACATCCAACAACAAATGTAGAGACACATGGAAATGTTACTCAAGAATGCACTAATAGTATTAGATTAATATCTTACTAATGTTTGGGCGCCCTAAGTTGATTAGAATATAACTTACATAGTTTTTGCAGAATGTTAAATATAAATATAAAAATTAATATCAATAATTAGAAGAAATTTTGGATTTCTTCTGAGATTCTGTAAAATTAAGCTTCATTCTAGATAATTTTTCTTTTTGTTAATGAATTTCCACTCTTAATTCTTCTATGGTTTTATCAGCTCTTTCATTAATTGGAGATTTATTAGGAGTACGTAAAGTAGGAGATCCATAATTTGGTGGTTTTTAATAATGATCTATATAAATAAATGAATTGTTACAATTTTATTTAATCATATTTGGAGATCTATGAAATCCTTAACTTGATGATAAAGAATGTTTTAAGAATACAGGTGATGAATCTACTTTTTCATTTTTTTAAACCAAAACTTCTAATTATTAAATTTACTATTAGTATTCTCGTGAAATTTAATCTAATTTTCTTTCAGACATAACTTTGAAATCATTATATCTTTATTCAAAGTATTATCTCTCCCTCTAAATGAAATCTACTGTTTGTTATATTTATATTCTAAAATGTATTCAATTTTTTATTACAATTCTTCTTATAATTGAGAAATAGTTTTCTAAGAATGCATTTAATCTATCTCAGCTTTTTTTTATAATTCTTTGCATAACTAATCTGAAATTAAGAATTATGATTATAAATTATCAGATTCCTATATTTTTAGATTTAATTGTTTCTTTAAATCATTAATTGATTGATCATATTAATAAATTTATTACATCTTTTATTTGATAATAATATCTTATTCTTCTTAAATCAACTTATATTCTCTCTTGACTTAATCAATCTTTCTATCAAATTCTATTTCAAAATCTTTCAAAATAACTTCATGATTTCTCTTCTCCAAATATAACTCTTAATTTGATAACTTAAAATTAATTGAAATAATTACTTAAAGGATTCTTTTTATTTAATTTTACAAGTATTCTCTAATATCTATATCATAACTTTAAAGTCTGTTTTAAATAAATTACTTAGTTTCAATCAATTATTATTTTAATTATTATTTTTATTTACCTACTGATATTATTACTTATTATTTTAATTTATTTAATTACACTTTTTGATCTTCCAATTATGAAGTGAGTAACTATTTCTCATTATTCCAGATTTATTAATTCTTGCTTTAAGTTTAAATTAAATCTTTTTCTCTATTTTTAAGTTCTTCTATTTAAGATAAAGCATTTGTATATTATGTTATATATGATTCTAAATCTTATATTAATTCTTAATGTTATTTTTCCAAATTCTCAATTTATTCATTCATTTATTATGATTCTTTTTCTAATTAATTATATTATCTCATTTATTCTTCAGATTATAATTTAAATTCTAACTTTAATTTCTTCTATTAATTTTCAAAATTAAGAATGTTTTACTAATTTTCATCATTAAGTTTATCAATTTCTTATTAACAAGATGCCTATCTTTTTAATTGTTCTTCCAACATTAAACAATGCTCTTATTTATATAATTTGCATCTCTATTCCAATTCTTCCCCTAATCTTTTATAAGAAAAAGAACCCTTAATTTAAATTTCTAATTAGTTCTATATATTTTCTATTATCTCATGTTATTATTGCTTCTCTCTTTCCAATTCACTCAAATAATCTTAATTCTCTCTTAAAGTATTAAGTGTTTATTCAGAAAATTGACGTAATTCATCAACATCATTCAATAATAACTTTATATTTTAATCTTTCTTTATTAATTCTTACTCTAATTGTTATATTTTCATTAACTAATCTTATATCTCATTATTTAATTCATTCATTTATTAATTTAATTATTTAATCTAATCTTCAAATTTTATTACATTTTTCTATTTAATATCCTGTTCAATTTAGAGAGATTATTTCAATTATTATGTTTAAGAGAATAAACTTAATATTTCTCTATCTTTATCATTTAAAGTACTCTCTAAACTTTTACTTAAATGTTGTTATATTATTGATTTCTCCTATTCCATATTCTATTCTAAGTTTTCAAATTACTTTTTATATTAAACTTCTAAATTCTTAATTGATTACTTATGTTATCCTTATTAAAATTCAATATGATCCTCTAATTCTTTGATTTAATCCTATAATTCTATAATAAAGGCATCTTTATTTTAAACTTCTTTGAGTTTCTATTTATATTCTCTTATTTTATTCTAACTTTTTTATTTCAATTATTCTAAGGCCTCCTTATACTTTTAAGATTCTTGATGTTTCTTTGTTTTTAATTGTTCATATTCCCATTTCAACCTTTATACTTCATTTTCTAAAATTATGTTCTCATCTATTTATGATTGATTCTTTCTTTACATTTCTTTAATTACTTTTTCCATCTCTTATTTCATAGATTTATACTACTATTCAAGTATAGAATTAGTTGACACTTATTATTCAAACTTTTGTCTAAATTCATAAATTTCTTAATTTTTTATTTTTTATTATTATTCAAATTAACTATAATTTTCTTTCAAATTTGAAATTTCTTTATTCAATTGATTATTTTATTAAGTAAGTTCATTATTTTATCTATTTAATCTATCTAGATTAACTTAGAGCTTTTTATTAAGCTAATTTTATTCATCATACATTTCTTAGAGATTATTTAATTCTTTTAATTGTAATATTTATTGCTCTTACAATTTTTATTCAAGATTGATAATCAATTATTATTCTCTATCAAAATACTCTAACTTTGTTTTTTCAATTGTTTCTTAAGATTGTCTCAATTCTTATTACAGCAATAATATCTCTTCACCATAATTTAGTTAAAATGTTTCTAAAGTGATTTCTTTTATTCGATTAAGAAATGTCCCTCTATTATCTGTTTCTATTTGATCTCCAAATGCTTTCTTAGTGATGTCCATTATGCACTCTACAATAATAATCACTTGGATTACTTTCTAGCACTCTTTATTATAAAACGAACATATTGTTAATTTATAATTAAATTTAATATATAATTATTAACAATTAATATTTTATATATAATAAACAAACTTTATTAAAGTAATTTTAAAATCTAATAGTTTTTTGTAATAATTATTATGAAAAAGTAATTAGATTATAATTGCTTATCTTTGAATTATTTCTCATATATCATAATTCAATTTCTGCATTAATATATCCTAAATTCTTTGTCTTGGATTTAACTTTAATGTAAAAATAAAATAAAAGCAAAGCAATTATTGTAAGCAGAGCATATATCCACCTTTTACTAACTTTGTCTAATTAAGGAGGATAGAAGAAAATGTTATAAATACCATTTGAAAATTCATTATCACAAAATATAGTAACATTAGCTTTATATTTTGTGTGGCTATTCAAAACACATGTTACATTCCAAGTACTTAATGAATAATTAAATATTATTTAGTTAGAAATATAAAGGGTTGTTCCATTTTTGTATTCTTAATTTACAATCATTGCATAAGAGTTATTTGTTGCAGTAAATGAACCTAACATCAAAATTGGTTTCAATATATCTCCATTTAAGAGATTATTCAAATAATTATTATTATTTAAATAATAAACTCCAACAATGTTTACTGTATTAGATTAGAATTATTGCATCAAAACACCATTTTTATAAAAATTATTACCAGTATTTGTTAAATTACCATAATTTGGAATAGTACCAATAATTACAAAATAAAATATGTTTTATTGTAATCTAAATTCAATTATCTCACTAATATCCTGATTAGCAAAATTACTTAATAAAATAATTACTCTATTATTGTATGTTTACATAATTAAAACAAAAGAAGGAAGTATTAATTTACAATTATTTTATTAATAGCAAAGATAAGATGCTACAAAATTTCTTTTTTGGATTTTGACTTAGTTATTTTGAATTGATATATATTTAAAACTAAGGTTTTAAATTAATTCACCAATTTGAATATAAAACACAATTAGTTATTAATATTATTAAATAGCAGAAATAGTTGTAACTATTTAAGCAATAGAGAAGTCTTGACATAAACCACTTGAATTAGATATCTAGTAAAAGTTATTATTAGATTAGTTAAACCAATACAATTATTATGATTATATTATCTAAGTAAATGTACCTAAGATAAAAATTTAGTTTAAAATGCTGCTCATTTTGGATATCTTTTAAAAAGTTTAAGGAAGTTAAATTGTATTCAGATTTAATATAAACCCTTAAGAATCTAATGTAAAGTTAAGTAAGTATTATGAAGTACTATTTTAACAAATTGAATATAATTAGTAAATATATGAGGTAGATTGTAAACATTAACTAAATGTAAGATTTGTATAATTAAAATAAAATAGATATCTTAAATCACTACTTAAAGTTTAAATGGATGAATTACTCTGTAGAGCAAAATATTCGTTATTTATTGAAGTAATTAATGAGTAATTCTGAATATTCGAAATGTTACTAGACTATTGTAAAAATTAAGTTAAACTACAATATTGATTTGAACCTAGGATATTATTTAAATAACAATATCCAACTTATCTATCAAGAATTAAATTCATTGGATATGAAAAATTTTTAGAATAAGGGATTATATTATCTTTACTTAGTTCAATTGATAAATTTCTTAAATCCTAAAATTATGTGAAGTTTAAATAAAAAATAATACTTTAATTAGGAGTTTGTTAAAAAGTATTGTTATTTAATGCTGAAGTTACAGTATAATTAAAAGTTAATTAAGGATAACTTATTGAATTGTTAAATACATAATTGGATTATTAAACAGTTAGATTAAACTATTATAATTCCTAAAGAGTATATAAATAATTGTTAGCAATTATTACTGATAATGGATTGTTTAAATAAAATTACTCAGTACATTAAATAGGTGATGTTAATTCTAATTTATAATATAAACTCATATGATATGGTAATAAAGGATTATAAACATAAACAGTATAATTGCTAAAAGTAACATAAAAGAATAAATTATCTGATTATATTATTATATTATTATCAAAATTGACACTATATAGATTCTTTACATAATAATATTTTGGTAAATTTTACACATTCCAAACTTAGAAGCAAATATTGTTTTGATTATTACATATATAAGATAATATCAATTATTAGTTTACTAAATTTATCTATTTTATTGTAAAATTGACTTAAATCAAGGATATTGGTATTGGATAACTATTTTAATCTATTGATATTATTATTACTTCATTTATATTGTTGATATATACAAAAGATGATAATGATTATGTATTCACAACTATTTATATTGGATTGAATGTAATGTTATTAAATAATTTATTTATTGACTATTAATTTAAAGTATATGTAACTGTATAATTAAATGTTAATATTTGAATATCTTATTATTCAATTAGAATTATTATACTATTATATGTTACTACAAAATCGGAGAATTATTATTCAAAAGTATAATTTGAACTAATGATACTATTTTTATCATAGTTGTACTAAATCAAATAGATTGTATCATTAGTACTGAGACCAATTATAAGCATACTTGGATAAATACTATAGGCAACTTATAAAGAAATTGCATTGACAGAGATGTTAATTGATTGATATAGCTTAAATTAGTATGAATAATTTTTGAAGTTGAAAGCGAAAATAAAAATATCAAGTTTTTAATTATTATATCCTATAAAGTATTGTTAGGCTTAATTGATCTTTAATACTAATATTTATATAAGTTAATAAGTCTAATTAATTTTACCATAATTTGATAAAGTTATTGGATAAAGATTAAAATAGGATTCATTTTTATTTAAGGTATAATTTAACAATTAACCTGAATAATCAGAAAAATTTAATTTTTGAAAAGAATGATACTAAAAAAAAAGTAAATTATTAAACCCATCATTAGACATTACATAAATATTAGTATCTTACTTAGATAGTATTTAAAGATATATATTAATTAAACTAAAATTATAAATTTAATTATAATTGAAACACTTTAAAGTAAATTAGGATGAATTTTCTGGAGTTTCAAATTTGGTCAAGTTGATTTATATTGATGGTTGTGAAATTTAATAAACAAAAATTTCTTTATCAAATTAAAATAACTGATTATCGTTACTGAAATATAATAGTTAATTACTTTGAGTATTTTGATAAAAATAATATAATTATGTTTTTTACTTTTAAAAAATAGCTGTTCTATTAATTGATTAATAGATTATAAATTAAGCATTTTAGAGTATCTTCTGTATAGACTCACAATTTTTAATTGGGCAATTATAATCTTAGAAGATTATTTACCTTTCACATCCAAATAGTTCTACCACTGTAAAATTTGATAAGGTAGTTAACCCTTTTTGGCATAATAACTATATTTAATCGCATTAAGAGGCACTCTAAAAATCGTAATAAACATTAATGGTTTTAAAATTCCTCATATTATTATAGCTAAAATTATATACAAAATTAAATTAAGAATCTGGAGATATTTATAACTAAAATAACTCTTAGGAAGTAATTGCATAAATATTTGGACTTATTGTGATTGGTATATCAAAATCGATAAATTAGTTATTTAAGCTACTTAAATTTTAAAATGATGATGAAAATAGTGTAAGTATTGAATATTTCTTAAAATATTAGGCATATACAATAAATGTATTTGTTCCATTTAAAATTGATTATATTTTAGTTGAAGTAGGTAAATTTGATTTTATTTAATAAGCAATTATTGATTAAGAATCTATTATTTGAATTAATAAGACTTCATTGTTATAATAGCAATCCACCAAAATTGTCTAATTTTAGAACAAATCAATATTATAACAATTATACAAAGGATCAATTAATACAGATACTCCAACTTATTGAATCATTTAATTCTTCCATTCATATATAATTATTTCATTATTATTAGATAGTGTACCAAAATGTGTATTATTTGACGACGTTGAAATAAATTCTATAATAATAATCTTAATCACTTACAATTCCCTTTTGTTCGGTATATTTCTTCACATTGATTGATTAATTACACATTTGGAACTTAAGGATGCAGTCTGCAAATTAATTAAGATTTTGATAGAAAAGTTCCAAGGTAGTATTCATAAAATTCTCCTACTGTTGGGTATAGAGAAATTTCTTATCCTTCTTTCAATTAAGTATTAGGAAATATACAAATCACTTTTATTACTAAGAGTATGATAATCATTTATCTTAACAATATTATTGGATTTTAATATATTATACTTTAATATGGAATTGCTAGTTAATAATTAAATTTTAATTAATTTGAAATCAATATTTATTTTAACTAATCTAGTCTGGATGATTAAAATTAACAATGAATAAACAGATGGCATTTCTTATTTCTTGTTTAAATTTTTTAGGAATAGATATACTAAATATAATAACCATAACTACTTTTAGTTCTAATATGAATATTTTCTAAAATTATAGAGTTTTTCCAACTAATTTCATTTCAAATATGATATAGATAGATTTAAATATGAATTGGAGATGTTATTATATATTATTTTTATAAATAATTAATTTAATTGTTCTTTTATAAATTTTATTATTTATTAAAATTGAAAATAATAAGTATGTAGATGGTGAGAAATGAAAGAAGATAAATGAATTTTATACATAACATTATTTAATAATGCTAATTTTAGTTATAAAGATTAATTTGAATAATAATTTAAAGAATTTATAAATCAACTCATTTAATAATACGTTCATTTTGGTCATCGTATCCAATTAATTAATTTATGAATCATATTATTCAACAACCAAAGACAACTCAATCAACAAAAAAACCTTCTAAAGTAGTTGTGAAACACCCAGAAATCTAACCAAACAAGCACCTTGAAGAATTAAAAAATAAAGCATGGACTGCTGCAATTCAGAAGGAAATTGATAAATTCGAATAGACCATTGTATATAATTTATTCATATCATTAGCTTGAAGTAGAAGCTTTGTTCAAAGAAGCTTCGACATCTTAAAATTTAGTTAGTTTGGGAAGTTTAAAATTGGTTCAGAGTGAATATGAATTTGCAGCTTTGAAATTACAACAATTAAAAGAGATGTTTTCAAAATATTTTGATGAATATACCAAATATCATTAAAACAAATAGAAATTAAAGGAATTGACAAAAAAAAATTAAAAAAGTGAGGAGGATAATCAAGCCATTTCAAAAATAACAAATGATCAAATAAAATTTAAAAACACATTTGCTTAAGAAAGAGAGAAGATTTAATTCTTATTTGGAGTTGCTTCAAGAGTTTTGATCCTCATTTAAGCCTACATTAAATTGAAGGATCAACATGAGAATCAATAGGAATTGTAAAGACACAGAGATTACATCCTCTAGAAGATTGACAAGATCAAGAAGACAGAAGAAAAGCATACAAAAAGGATTGAAAGACATTACAATAGAATATTAGTAGAAGATCCTGATGCTCCTGAAGATATTGAAGTTGAAGAAGACCAGAGTGAAGAAGAGTAAGAAGTTGATGGAAATAATAAAGCCAGAGAAGACTTAATAAGTAAATTATTTTATTTATAGCCTTTTAGAGTTGTGTGATGGTTTGATTTCTTATTTATCAAAATTTGAGAAAAAGGAAGGAGTAATAATTATAATTCTATATATAGGATTAATTCTTATAACATGATTTAACAACTTTCCAATATTTTGATAAAATTAGAGTGGCTGCTCCATTTTATTCAAACTAAATAGACTTGGCTATAGATTTGATTAAAGCTAAAAGAATTTTTTATGAAAATGCTCCTGAAAGTGAATTTGTTAAAAAGGTTGTTTAAAAAGTAGTCAAGCAATAAGAACAGAAGGTTGATGTTACCAACGAGTAGGATTTCCCTAAATTATAATGAGATTATTTTATAATCATATAAAAATCAGACAATCATACATGATTATGATTAAACCAAATTCTATGGTTAAGAGATCTACATCAAATAAACAAACCGAAAATCAAGTAAAATAATACTTTGAATAGATTTTTTATTTCATTATAAATTTTTTTAACTAAATTAAAATTTATAACAATAGTCCAATTAAGTTCAAAAATTTAGAATTAAAACATTGAAATGAAGTAGTAGGAATTGAAATTATGCAATACTAAAGCAAATATCATTTTCTTTAAAATAAATCAATGATATAGAAAACAAATTATTCAATGCATAAATTTGATTCTTAACTTTTTAAATTATCAGTTTCTTAGAATGAGTGGGATTTAACAATAAGAGTATTAATATAATAAATATAATAATAGAATAAAAAGTGGAAGGCATAAATAGAAAACAAATTCATTACAAAGTTGATAATGAATAATGGCTTATGAACATTTTTAAAAAGTAAAAGGCCTATTGATGTTCACACATATAAGAATTGTCACTTTTATTAAGTATATGTACATACTACCCTATACACAAATTCGTAAATCATTTCTGATTGATTAATTACATTTATTTTATAATGAAAATTCCATGAATTTTGTTGAACATTGTGATGAAAAATTTATTTAATTGAAAATTTTCAAAAGAACTTTGACTATTAGAAATAAAATGTAAGAAGTTTACACATATCAAGTATGACCTATATTAAAATTGTTTAGATTCTTAAAAAATGCAATGGCAAGGCAGTCATATAGATAGATGAAGAATTGTTGGGTGTTATAAATGCTCATTTGACATTGAAACCACTACAAAAACAAAGAGAAGTGCCTTATACACTTAAGAAATTACACAATTTTTAAAGACGAATAGTGCCATTTTTCATGAATCAATTCATGCATTGGTCAGAAGAAATGGGATACAAATAAGTTGATGGGTATCTGAGAGCCATTCATAAGAAGAAAACTTCAAAACAATAAAAGTTTGAATTGGGAGACCTTAAGAAGTTATTTGGTGTTATAAATCCAAGAACCAAGATCATTTAGATAGAAACTCAGAATAAATGGATTGATTTTTTGAGTACTTAGGCTGATATATGTGTACTTCTTAATAATAAGATCAAAGATTAATCAACCAAATAATTATATATACAAGCAATTCAAAATTTGAAGGCTGAATTAAAAAAAGATCTACCTTATGATAAATTCTTAAGTATTCCTAAGAAGGAAGAATCGGTTGAGTCTCTATTGGAAGAATCAAAAAAATAAATAATAAATGAAGAATTTTCAAGTGGAGAGGTAGATGAATATTCTCCAACTGATAAAGTAGATCCTTATTCTTATTTGAGTTGCGCATATAGCAATTTTGATTGAATGTTTACTCATATATTATAATTGATTAATAAATTAAATTATAAAATATATTAATGTAATAAATTGGAGATATTACAGAATTGCAAAAATTACCTCCTGATTAATTTTCATTTTTATTGAGAATTGGAAATAAATGTTAATCTACTTCTCTAACAAATGTTTTTACTGGAGATCCTGCAATACCTGTTATTGGCAAATATTCAAGAAATCAATATCATTTTTTGAATGTAGATGTATTGATTTAAATGGATTTGAATTTAAATGAAGATAACTATTATAGTCAGGGATGGAAAATAAATTTACCAGTAAATGTGCTTTAGATATTGCATAACATTCCTGAATAAATAATACATAACAAGCCACCACCTAAAGAAAATAACAAAAAGGGAGGTAAGAAACAAAATAAAAAGTAAGGGAAACAAAAGGAAGAATAAGAATAACAAATATAATAAATTGAGAATGAACCATAATTAATTTAATAAGATAAAAATGAACATGAAGAAGATTTTAAAATAATGGAATTTCATCCATTACAATTTCATTTATCTCACAATATCAAATTTAGTTGGATCATAAGTTCCTTATAAAATAAGAAAATACTTGAACCAATGAAATAAGAGCCATGTTTGAGTTATGTTAATCATAATTGGGTTTTTGAAGTTATTAATTTTGAACACACAAAGAAAATAATTCAACATCTACCTATATGTGTTGTAGATGCAAAAGGAGCATATGAGTATCCTGATCCACATAAGGGACTTAGTTTTAAAGGTCTAAGATCAGAATATATGTCAGTACATCTTGGATAATAAGGATCTCTTTGTTTCTCACCAAACAATATGAAAATGATGGTAGATATGAAATGTCCTTTGATTTCATTTTGGACTGTAATTTTATAGGAAGATGGAATACATTAAGTGAATTTACATTGGGTGATTTTGCATGAAATGTTTTCAGAAATGTCTCATGTTATAGCCAAAGAAAATAAGACTATTAAATAATTAATAACAAATTATGGAGAATTAAGTGGTGAATTTAAAGCAGAATGTGAACAAATAAACAAAGTTTTTGTTTGATAAACTCATTCTGTATTTTATAACAATTAAATTATCTTATCCTTATAGATTCTTTCTTATGATAACCATTAATCTTCTTTTTCTTACATTTATTGTTCTAATCTTAATATTTAACTCTTCAATTAATCAATAACATTAACATTAGCATTCTTTTCTAATTCTAATAATTAATTAGATAATTCTTTAATGATTTAGTTTTTCTTTTCAATAGTTTTTTCATATTATTCTTGATTTGATGTAGTAGATTAATTAAGAGTATTATCATTGATTTATTTATAACCAGATTGAGATCTTTAATTATTTTTTTTTAATTATTCACTCTATTATCTAATAATGACAGTTAGATGTTAATTTTCATCTTAAATCTTATTAAATTTTTCTTCAAGTTCTGCACACTTCTATTTCCATTATTAAATTTCTGTATCTTAAGAACTAACGTCAAAATTATTGAATGTGGAATCATCAAAAATCTTCTTAAATTTTCCATCAGATCTAATATGAATATCTAATTATTCAATCTATTTTTCTAATTCAGCCTCTTATTAAGAAAGAAGATCATTGATTTCTTTGAAATTATCATATTCAGGAGGTGGTGATGATGTTGTTGGTTGAATTGTTTATTGTAATTTCTATTATTGAAATTTTTCACCTAATTGTACAAATTTTTAAGTAAGATTATCCTATTATATCTATTAATGTTATTATTATTAGAATTAGGATTGTGAAACAGTTTATTAAACTGGTTATTCATTGGCTTTACTTATCATTATAGTGCTCTTAAATTCCTTTGGTGGAGATTGACTACGAGCTCTAGTTGTTCTAGAGTCTATCTTTCTAGTACTGGATGTTCGTGCTGTCTAAGGTGCAGGTCCATTAACTGGAGCAGGAATATCTGCTATAGGCAATTCTTAAGATTCGAACATTGAATCCTTAATCACTTTAAAGAGTAAGGCAGCTCTCTTATCTGTCGTAGATGTGAGTGGTTTTTTTTATTTTTAATCTTGAGGTGCTCCACCATCAAGAAAGTATGCTAAGTTAATTACACAATCACCAAGTAATTGATTGCCTGCCAAATAGAAAAGGAATTTGATCTAGCTATATAAGGAGGGTTTACATTATAGTCAGCATAGATTCCATCCTTTTTGATCATTCGTTATTGAAACTCAACAACTTAATCAATAGGAAGACGACATATAGTCATGGTGCGTTCAGGATTCTTAATTGGTAATTTAGTAACAACTTATTGAGCAGCAGCTGTACTTCGTTTCAATAAGATTGTTAATTCGTATGACTATTGATCTGATTTGGAACTGAATTCTAGATATTAGAGTATGAATTTGAAATGCTTTTGTTAATTCATTATAATTTTTAATGAGTGATCACGAGAACTCAAATATTGACGAAGTCATAGCTAAGATAAAAACTCTACCTCTTGCTTAAAGAGTTCATGCAGTAGCACTATTCCATAGTCTCAAACGAAAATAATAATATGATGAAGAGTTAGAAGAACAAATAAAAAAACTCACCAATTAATATGATCGTCTCAATTTACCATTATATGAGTAGGTAATTGAAAAAGTATTAATTTGAAAGCAAAATGAAATCATTTTGGGATAGAGAATCCCAAATGAAGTAGAACTAGCTAATTTACCAAAATTTGTAAGTGATGCTGAAACATAAGAAATAGCATAAAATAATGTTGCAGAACCTTTAGCAGAATATTGGTATAAAGTGTTAAAGAACTCTACTTTGATATGTAACATAATATGCTCATATTTTAAGCTGATGTTTGTCATGATAATGAGAAAGATTGGGATGTTCTTAAATTCCTCAAGAAAGTTGAATTGGATCATGAAGAGAACAATAATAATTTCACTATTAAATTGACTTTCTTACCTAATGAATATTTCACTAATGAAGTTCTTTAGAAGAAATTCTTTTTTGAAGATAATGAAGACACTCCCATAAAGAGTGAATCAACACACATTGATTGGAAGGATGGAAAAAATATCACTTAAAAGAAAGTTTCTAAGAAGTAAAAGAATAAGAAAACTGGAGCTTCAAGAAATGTTGAAAAAGTAGTTGATGCAGATAGTTTCTTCAATTTCTTTAAGGATTTCGATCTAAGCAAATAAAAAGAATTAGATGAAGAGGAATTATAAAAATAAGAAGATTTGATGAATGAACATTTCGATATAGCAACAGAATTTTTGGATTCGATTGTTCCTTGTTCTTTGGAATTGTATTTGGGAATACAACCAGAAATGGCAGAATTAGATGATGATGAAGATGATGAAGATGAAGAAGAAAATGATGATGATGATGAAGATGATGACAAAAAGAAATCTGTATTATATACTATTTATTTTAGAAACGAAAGAAGTCAAGTAACAGTAAAGGTGGCGATAATAAAAAAGCAGAGAAACCAGATTGCAAATAATAATGAAATATCAATACATAATAATTAAAACAATCTTCTATTTTTTTTCATGTTAATTAATAATTATGTAAGGTTTATTGTAGCCATCTCAACAAACACTTTTGGTGCGATCACCAACTGAAGGCTCATTGAAAAGTTACAGTAGATATGAGAGTAAGGGAAAGAAAAGAATTGTATACAAAAACAACAAAGGTGAAATAGTTGACCCTCATGAGAAATTGGCTAAGTCACAACATTCTCATCAATCATAACCTGTTCATTCAGTAAAATCTCGAACTGCTACTCCTACTCCTTCAGATAGTGTCAAAACATAAACTAACTCCATTTTTGACTTAGTACCAATTGACGATCCTATTTGGTTAGATTTGATTCCTATAGAAATACAATAAGATTAAAACTTCAACCTTGAGAGATTAATTATGGATAATCAAGAATATTTCGTTAATCTACTTGGTTTATACATGCAAGAAAGACAATAAAACAGAATACAAGAAATTAAAGTGTCTCTACCCTAAAAAAAGCAGACTACCTATGATCAAGCCCATAAAAAACTGAATGCTCTTGATCAATCAAATTTCAACATTAAGATGTATGATTAAGTCCCTGTTGCTTAATCTCTTCAGTTACAAACGCAATATGAAGTTTTATATATATTTTTATATCTAGACTTCATATCGTACTCCAAAAATTAACCCATTGGACAACTATAAACCTTCCTATACTAAGGATAATCCTGAAATGCTCACTCTCACCAGTTATAAATAAAATTACGTCAATTGGAAACCATGTCTTACTGAAAGGGTGGGGCCTCAAAGAGGATAAAGTACTGGAGCCTTACCCTTTATTGGCAAGACTTCATATTAAGAGAATTATAGAGTCAATAATTGTGAGCCCATGGAATCTGCAAAAAAGAAATCCCTGTATTTAATATTAGTTTATTTTAGAGGTCCTTTTGCTTCTGGGAGCTCAATGATTTTCAAGGAAGCCTTATCTAAAATCCATTATCCAAGTTATTAATTAGAGGAATTACCACCTAGGAAAAAAAATAGCAATCATCAATAAGGAAATGGGTCTTATGATGGACAATTCAAAACGACTTTTAAAAAGTAACTTTTCTGATTTATTCTTTAAGTTCTTTTGCTTATAAAGTACCAGAACCAATCGTGTAAGATAGATATTGGAAATAGAAATTGATACAAAAGATCTTAGAGAAGAAATAAATTTGATATTGACTTATTTTGTATAAAATATAATAAAAAAGAATGACAGATTAAGGAATAGCAATTGAGCGTATGGAACAACTCAAAGAATCAATAGACATAGTAAGATTTGATCAATTATTTTAGGGATATTTATGTATTTGTGCAGCATTTGTTTTATTGATGCAAGTTGGATTTGCATTCCTTGAAGGTGGATGTCTTAGGTATAAGGACATGCAAAGTATAATGCTCAAAATATTTATGAATACCTGTGTTACTATTGTTATATGGTGGGTTGTTGGTTATGGGATAGCTTTTGGAAGTGATTCAAAAGAATTCGTTGGATCATCTGTTTATATTGGATTTGATATGAAAAATTCTAAACATTTGGCAGAGTTTGCATTTCAGACAGCAGTAGCCTCTGCTGCCACTAGTATTGTTTCAGGAGGAGCTGCTGGTCGTATGACTTATATTGGATACTTTATATTATCTGTAGTATTTTCTTCAGTTATATATCCATTCTGTGCCCATTGGGGATTTGGAAATGGTTGGTTAATGAAATTAGGATATCATGATTATGCAGGAAGTGGTACTATTCATGCTTCTGCTGGCATGGGTGCTTTAATGACAACAATGTTATTGAAACCAAGAAATTAAAGATTCAATCCAAAATATGCAGAACATTTTGAACCTAACAATCCAATTTACATCACTTTAGCATGTCTTTCTTTATGGGTTTGTTGGTGCTTCTTTAATGGTGGATCTTCATTAGGTATTGCTGATGGTGCTAGTGTTTTTATGAGTCGTGCCATTATGAATACTTTCATTGCTGGTGCTTCTGGAGCTTTAACAGTTTTCTTTATTTTCTATTTAATGAATATCGATTAAACCAATAGATATTCTTTAGTCATGATTTGTAACGGCAATCTGGCTGGGTTAGTAGCAATTACTGGGTAATATAATATTTTTATAATATTAGACCTTGTGATAATGTTGATGCTTGGGCAGCATTTGTTATTGGAATACTTGGAGGTATGATGATGGTATTTGCAAATAGAGTTCTATTCAATCTATAAATAGATGATCCTGTTGATGCTATTTCAATTCACTTTGTATTTAATTCTATCTTATTTTAGGCATGTGGAATGTTGGGAGCTAATTTGGTTTCATGGTTTGATATGGATACAGGAATTGTCTATGGTAAAGGAGGTTATTAATTTGCTGTTTAGATGTTAGGATCCTTCATATATATTGGATGGTCTGCTCTCATTCATTTGATAACTCTTCTATTTATTGATAAAATAGGATTTTTAAGAGTTACATTAGAAGAAGAATATGAGGGATTAGACCTTGCTACTATG